CTTTGCGATATTGTATCCAGTATTCGCAATGATGTCCTAGTTAAAATCGAAAACCTACTTCACTTTAGGTCTTTTCTTACATAGCTGTCACGCTGTGAATTACAGAAATTATAATCTACTCACTCACTCACTCGACCCCTGAAGAGGACATCACTATTCACGATGCAAATTACAATATCAATAGGAAGATATTCTTACTAGTCGCGTGTCCATTGTTATTCTATGTAATTGAGTTACGACTAATTCAACTAGTCTCTGAAATGAACATATTTTACTGAAAAAGTTCATAGTAAAAAAATATAAAATATAATGAAAAGGAGCCCTGAGACCTTCTTCATTTTCAGAGACTAAACAAATCTGCAGAGGGATAATTTCTTGGAATTTCACAACACATGCAAAGATTCTTATCACCCATTACTGCTTTAATTGTGTGTGACAGGAATATTTACTGCCCCCACCGCCTCCTGGTCCTACTGCCAGTGGTGTGGGCTGATTTGGGGTAATGAGTATCAAGTGTCGCCAAATCTATTTTGAGAGCAAGCAGGGATACCAGCTTAGGGTAGCATCTCTTGATATTCCTATCGCTGGACAACTGGATCTTACCAAAAAAATCCAAAGTTATTTATATTCTCCAAAATCCAAAGGTTGTGTCTGCACTATATGTGGAAGTTTAATTGATGTCGCATATATATAATGAAACAAGCAGAAAAAGTCATCAATATCCCCCGCAATGGCAAAATACTCGTCATGTATATGTCAGTTAGTTATGACTATGTCAAATGTTTTGGTATGTATATAGCAGTGAGTGAGTGAGTTTAGTTTTATGCCACACTCAGCAATATTCCAGCTGTCTGTAAATAATAGAATCTGGACCAGATAATCTAGTGATCAACAGCATGAGCATCAATCTACACAAATGGGATGCAATGATATGTGTCAACCAAGTCTGTGACTATATTACAAAGTGGAAGGAGAGTATTGAAAGGTTTTTAAGTTCTGCTCCGGAAAAGAGCACTACCACCAATTTCAGTCAAAGTCAAACTTGTTGCCATGGAAACACAAAATATGTTTTATTCAGAAATCTAAAACTACCAAAAGGCACCAGTATATCACCAGGCCTATCTATGTGCCAAGTTTGGTGAAGAAAAATTCAACAGTTTTAAAGTTCTGTTCTGGACAAGATTACATCCTCATAGCCACAGCCTCCATGGAAAGTTACGTTTCCAAGGAAACCGGAAAAATAAAGTCATATCTTGGTCTAAACCCCAAAAGGCACATCTATGGATCATACTTGACATATGTTCCAAGTTTGATGAAGCTTGCATGTATAGTTTGGAAGATCTGCTCCCGACAAGATGACATCCTCATAGTCACAGCCTAAGTCGTGTTTCCATGGAAAACAGCAAAAATATAAACTTCATATCTGGGTCTAACCATCACATGGCACATTTATGGATCATGCTTGATATGTGTACCAAGTTTACCATGTATACCAAGTCACGTTTCCATGGAAACTGCAAAAAATAAAATTCATATCTGGGTCTAATCATCACATGGCACATTTATGGATCATGCTTGATATGTGTACCAAGTTTGATGAAGCTAGCATGTATAATTTAGGAGATTTGCTTCGGACACGATGACATTCTCATAGTCACAGCCTAAGTCATGTTTCCATGGAAACAACAAAAAATAACATTTATATCTGGGTCTAACCCCCAAAAGGCACATCTAGGGATCATGCTTGACAGTTGTACCAAGTTTGGTTAAGTTATCACATAGTTGAGGAGATATGCTTCGGACAAAGCGTGACGGACGGACGGAACTCGTTTCTATATTCCCCGCAACTTCGTTGTTGTGGGGGATAACAATATGCCATCAGATCCCCATGAAAATGTCTTTTCAAAGTTTATGGGTAAAGTCACAAATGCCTACATCGTTGAGGTACACTGCTTTGAGCCTAATGATTTATATTTCTCTGTTAGTCTCTTCATCATGTAAATCAAGGATGACACAACAATAACAGTAGCATGGCTTGTATTTTCTACTGACTTGCCTGAATAGGCAGAATTTCGAATGTCAGTGATTTTCCACTCCTGGATGGAGAACAAAACAACACATCTTCACCATTTAATTAAGTACTTTTCAATCATCGTATTCTGATTTGGACGAATGCTATGTATATTTTCTTTCATCCTCATCAAAGTTCCAATTCATTTTTACCCTGAGATGGAAAACTTTTCGAAATGATCCCCTCTCCTCGCCAGTGTAAAATGAAACAGTTAAAGAAAATACTTAAAGTCATCAGGTCTTTAGTGTAATCACACATGTTGTTTGTCTGGAGTGAGAGGACAGGCAGAAGCAGGAGGTCTTGGCTCAGCGTGGGGTCTTGGGGAGTGGTGGAGGAGGCTCCCCATGAGTTAATATTAAACACTAGTGACAGCTAAAGATCAACTGATAATTACAAGCCATATTCTGGCTTGTGAATTCAGCAGATTGGTACAGACCCTGAAGCTGAGGAAATCTAGACTTGCCACATTTTCTAGACTTGTGTGGGCTTTCTTGGATATATTTGCTTCAGGGTCTGTACGAGAGACTAGGACGACAAGATACTTGATGACACAATTGAGCACGGTACAGCAACCTATATATTAGGGAACGTCGCATCACAATACAGTATAGAATTGGCCACCCATACGTATCTTATCATTATAACTAGGACTATAATTGACTCTCTCTCCTCTCTCTCTCTCTTCTCTCTCTCTCTCTCTCTCTCTCTCTCTCTCTCTCTCTCTCTCTCTCTCTCTCTCTCTCTCTCTCTCTCTCTCTCTGACTGGCCACCAATGCGTATCTTATTATAACTGGGACTCTCTCTCTCTCTCTCTCTCTCTCTCTCTCTCTCTCTCTCTCTCACTCTCTCTCTCTCTCTCTCTCTCTCTCTCTCTCTCTCTCTCTCTCTCTCTCTCTCTCTCTCTCTCTCTCTCTCTCTCTCTCTCTCTCTCTCTCTCTCTCAATGTGACCCCGCCAGCTGACCCTCTTGCTCTGTATCCTCTGTAATCACAGACTGCCATATTTTCAAACTTCCTCTTCCTCTTATTATCTCGTCACAGAGCGCACGTGATTGCATGGGTCAGCTGTCAGATGATCCCGGTGGTGCTCACAACACCTCCCACAACCTGTGCCCGCTTAGAGCTCTCTCCAGGGGACCACAAACACAGTATCCAGGAACCCCCGACTGATGACTCCCACGTCCCTGTGGCTTTAATAGATCCGTGCCGGCACGGCTTACCCATTCACGGCTGACATTATAGCTTTAGCGTTTCCACTTCTTAAGTTAAACTCCACGTATGAAGTTAATTAGATTTCACATCTGTTCCGTCAGACATTTTGATGTTAATTCAACACACTTTACATACTCAAAAACAAACTGAGCAGTATTTTGATTTGCTGATTAGCTTGAACTAATATATAGTTTGATATGGTCTGTATGATTGGTTGTTATGTTTTTCTAGCTCGTTGTCTCGAGTGAGTGAGTGAGTTAGGATTTGAAGTCACATCGGCAGTATTTCAGCCATATAGTGACTAGATCAAGTTGTAGATTCATGATAACTAAAACTAAATTATAAAAACATGTCGGCGAAGGACCCGTTGTCTCGAACTCCTGGGAACCATATATATAGTTCGATATTCCCGGAGTTCGACGCGTCGACTCCCATTGCCATCCGTCAAGAGAATGCACGCGTATTGCTTTGTGGATATTGTTTTATTCGGTATGGATGCTTTCAAAAACTTTTGTGAATAACATGTTAAAGTGATTCTACTGCACTTGTGTGGGCAACTGCTTGAGGTAATTACATGCATTTAATACAATATAGTGGAGATTTCTCAAATCCAGCGTAATCTGCGGTACCCCTCCATGTACCGAAGTTCCCAAGAACAGATGGTTACGACTCGTCACAGATTACACAGTGTAGAGTAAACTGTTACAAACCCGTATTCCGGTGTTCTAAACCGAGCTGGAGCTATATTCCAGTTTTTGCAGTTCGACCTGGAAGTATCCCAGTTTTGCAACTCGAGCTGGAAGTATCCCAGTTTTGCAACTACAGCTTGAGATATCCCAGGTTTGTAATTCGAGCTGGAAGTATCCCAGTTTTGCAACTACAGCTTGAGATATCCTAGGTTTGTAATTCGAGCTGGAAGTATCCCAGTTTTGCAACTACAGCTTGAGATATCCCAGGTTTGTAATTCGAGCTGGAAGTATCCCAGTTTTGCAACTACAGCTTGAGATATCCCAGGTTTGTAATTCGAGCTGCAGGTATCCCAGTTTTGCAACTCGTGCTGGAGGTATCCCAGGTTTGTGGCTCGAGTCATACGTACCCTGATGTCCAAACTCCATCCTGATGTCCAGTGTTTATCAGTATTATTTATTCATGTGACATCGACATCTAAATGTTCGAAGTTTAGACCAGACAATCCATTGATTGATATAAGAGCAAAGATCCCTCAGTGGGATTCAGTGACATGTGTAGGGTAACATGGGACATTTAATTTGGATTGAATTCAAGCTTAATCTGGGCACTTGTTGACTTCTGACTCCATTGTCTAAGGCACCGCAATTAGCTGTGCAGTTGCACTTTGGGTTGCGTCCCCTTGATACGCCCGGTCCTTTTCAAGCCTTGATACCCGCAGACGGATCCATTTCAGTAGCAGCCTGTCTGTCGCATACTTGAATCACGGGCTCATGGGGGTCAGCACCAGTCACTTGTTTGATTGACGCCTCGGGACACTGATCAGAAAATCAATCACGTGTTTGTCTGGTCTAGACTCTAACATTTACATGCCGCCGTCACATTACCGGAGAATTGTTGACTCCACAAACAAATGAGACGTCCTTACTACAACTACACACAAGGAAAACACGACATGAAACCAAAATCGAAAACAGTACTAGTCTTTCAGTTCTGTGCGATGTTTGATTTAACTACATTTCCCTGTTTCAGGTGGAAAGGCGTATGGAAAATTATTGGAAGAGTTTGAATCCAGCCTAGATGCAACTAACAAGGTAATGTCTCAAGGATATACATGAAACACATGAAAGGGGAAAATATTATTATTATGATATTATGACGTGTAAGTAGTATTCAGGACGTTTAATAACAGAGTGATCAACTGCATAACACGTGCCATCGAAATACTAATAAAAACTCCGCTGACACAGCGGTTCAAACAATGCCTTATGCCACCGCGAGTTACTTCCCTTCCGTTATCGACGTACAAATTGTTGGTTGTGATTTTATGGTGCTCTCCTATTTAAGACACTCAATTTAGATGTCTTATTTATTTTGGGAAACGAACTTTAATGCACAATGTCCTTTTTCCAACTTTAATTACATCACAAGCTTACATAATCTAAAAATATAATATTTATGTAATTGCCGGCAGGGTTGTACGCCTACTGTTATTCTGGCCGTCAGTCCTATCACCATGTTTTACAGATTAAAACTAAGTGAGGTGAGGTGAAATTCGGTTTAACGTCATGCTTGAGAATATTTCGCTCATATGACGACGTGCATGCATGTGTATGTGTATGTGCGGCTGCTTGTACTAGCCCAGACTTAAGCTGGTTTTATAGTGCTAGCCCACTGAGATACCATGCCGCAGTGAAGCAGAAATACCGCACTCAGACACATTATACTGACTCCGAGCCGACAAGTCCTTGTTGTACCCATTAATGCCGAGCGCCAGACAGGGACCAACAAGTACCACATTTAAACGTCTTTTGGCATGACGCGGTCGGGGATCGAACCCGCGACCTTCCGCTCTCCGTGCGGACGCTCTAACCACTACACCACGGAGGCGGTCATTAAAACTAAGTGCAGCAGTGAGAGGTTGGGTGGTCCTGACAATTGTTATTACTCTTGCTATTATTCAGATGTTCATCGACGGTGACGATTTCAAAGATGTGGAGGACCTACCGGAGAAACTCGAAGCCTATAAGCGTGAGTTGTCATATCTGTGCATCAGTCGCTTGAAGAGGGTTATGTAGGACTTCCGGTCATTTAGGACTTCCGGTCATTTAGGACTTCCGGTCCAACTGTGTGTAGATGATCCAGTACATGTCGTCTCATGACAAACTGTGTATTACAGCATACATTTCTCACCATCCTGTAGTCAACAGGACTTCCTAATACTAGCTGTTGACCATAAATATATGAGTCATGTAGATGTTGACTCATGTGTAACTGTAGACTATTAGCGAGAGAGTTGAGTTAAGGATGTGACATGAATGTGAAAGAGCGAAACCATCATTGTGTTGTGAATTGTTTACCTTTATGTTGATTCGAACCCTGTGCAGAAATGGGTTCAGATGCTAATGGAGTGTTAGCGAGTGGGTTTGGTTTGTGTACTTGTATTTGTCTGAAATATTGTCAGTAGTATGGGGCCAGTCAGTTAAATCAGTACTCATGTTTTTAATCATTCAATCTTACTGAAAAATATCTTTTAGACATTAATGTTCAGAAATGTTCTATCCCGTTTGAGATTAACTTCCAATAGAAAAAGGTAGACATTTAGGGGCATCAAGGAAAAGCCGATTGTGTAAAAATTGTACTGGGAAACATTGTACTTATACAATGAATAAGTATTTTGTGCTTGTTTGTCCATTGTATGCAAATATCAGACAAGAATACATACAGAAATATTTCTATTTGAATCCCTGAACATTCTATACCCTCATCTCAAAATCAAACAGTCACAAAGAATCTTGCAATGTATATATGTATACCATGCAATGAATATCAGATCCTCTTCATTATGTATAAATACCTGTAACTTTGATACGTTTAACCAGTGGTAGATCAAATAATCTGAACAAAACTTCCGTATTACATCAGAAATAATGCATTAGACTAAGGGTATTATGTTTGTTGTATGTTTTGTATATCTGATTTCCATTAAACCCCACTCCTTGTGAGATATTTGACCAAGCATCATTTTCTTCTATTTCAGTCAAATTTATTGAATGTGATCGGGACAAGTCGGGGGATCTCGGTAAGTGATGCACTTTTGTTTCACACTGTTGGTTTAGAGCCAAGACGTGTCGTTACTTCCTGGAGCGCCCACATTAGTATCCTTAAATGATCCGTGTTGGAATTGATCTTCAGTAACCCATGGTTGTCGTAAGAGGCGACTAACGGGGTCAGGTTACTCTCGCTGACTTGGTTGATGCATGTCATCGTATCCCAATTGCGTAGATCGATGCTCATGCTGTTGATTACTCGATTGTCTTGTCCAGACTCGATTATTTACAGACCGATGCCATTTCACAGGAATATTGCTGAGTGCGGCGTTAAGCAATAACTACAGAAGCCTACAATACTAGCTGTTTCTGACATACCATCTCCATTACAGTATGACCATTTGCCATCACAGCTTGGTTACATCACATCCAGTAACTTCCCACAGAATTTCCATCGCGATTGAGTTGCGTTTGATTTGACGACTTTTTTAAAAGCTCGGGGTTTTGGACTGGGAAACACAACAATGAAAGCGGTGGTTTGTGAGAAGACAACACGCACGTATCATATACAAGCATGACAGATTACACTGTATTTAGATGACACTATGGCAGTTATGATAAAAGTCTGGGGTAATAAAAATGAAATGATAAAACAGGTTATATGTCACTGTAATGCCTTTAGCAATGCATTCATCCCCAATGTGTTTGACCCTCCTCCCCAAATACCTCAGATCCCTGACATAACTGTGCTAAGGTAATGAGCAATAAATACACTGTTAGGTTGGTTAGTTGTGTGTTTATTTAAATTATTATGATGCTATTATTACATTGAGTGAGTGAGTGAGTTTAGTTTTACGCCGCACTCAGCAATATTCCAGCTATATGGCGGCGGTCTGTAAATAATCGAGTCTGGACCAGACAATACAGTGATCAACAGCATGAGCATCGATCTGCGCAATTGGGAACCGATGACATGTGTCAACCAAGTCAGCGAGTCTGACCACCCGATCCCGTTAGTCGCCTCTTACGACAAGCATGTGTTACTGAAGATCAGTTCTAACCCGGATCTTCACGGGTTTATTTTTACAGACATGATGGATGTGAAGTATATGTTGGAGAAGCTGGGGCAGGCAAAGACGCACTTGGAGCTGAAGAAGATGATCCAGGAGGTGGACACCACCAAATCCGGCACCATCAACTACACCGACTTCGTCATGATGATGCTGGGGAATAAGTCATCAGTGCTCAAACTGTGAGTTGTACGGTCATTGTGAACCGGATGCGTATGTGTTTTCAATGTGTGTGCGCGCGCGCGCGCGCACGCACGCACACGCACGCACGCACGCACACACGCACACACACACACACACACACATTTTGCACACCCCATATTTTGGATATTCCTGGAACCGCCTATGCTGTCCGTCAATGTTTCAGTGAATGTGTGTGGATACATGCGTGCGTGCGTGCGTGCGTACGTGCATGAGTGAGTGCGTGAGTGCATTGTTTTTGTATAGATCTGGCCGTGCTCTAACATAGAGTTCTGAAAGTGATAGAATAATATTTCAGCGATTGTTGTGATTTTAAGGATTTCGTTCCACCCAATTTTCCCCAAGCCCACTATATCAGGGCTGTTACTAAATTACTAAATGAGCATTGGCTCGTGATGATCGAGAAAAGGGTCACACGTATGTGTGGCTCTGTTTGTCGGGCCTCGTTCATCAAGACGAATTTAGCGCCAGGATGGTCGTAATTCTAATTTAGTGGGACGAGATCCTGGGGTCTAAATCAAATATCCTGCTGCTGCTGACATCCTTGTTGGAGAACAGTGAAGCAGTGAGTTTAGCTCCGGTCTCTTAGTCGGTCTGTACTAAGGGACTTCACCACTTTGGGTTTCCTCTGGTAAAGGGTAATGGTGGTCAGGTGAGCTAAGGCTGTGATGAGTTGCGTCCCTTACTCTTGTCAGGATCAGCCGACCATGTGCTCGACTCCAAAATTCGTCTAGATTTTTATCCTTGGTCTCTCCGAATCATACCATGGATTTAATAAAAATTGTAAACGTCCACGTCTTACCTCGGCTTCCATCCCACATACAATTGTTAAATATCTGATATATAATGTCAATGTGGTATTAAAATTACTCATCCTCCATTGTAAAATGTAACTAATTTATAACTTAAATTTGTTACACCATACATGGAGTGAGTGTGGTGTTACGCCGCGTTTAGCAATGTTCCAGCAATATCACGGCGGGTGACACCAGCAATGGGCTTCACATATTGTACCCATATCGGGAATCGAACCCGTGTCTTCGGCGTGACGAACGAACGCTTTAACCACAAGGCTACCCCACCGCCCCTACACCATGCAAAACTGCACAGCTCTCAGAATGAAATGCCATCTCTGTAGGACTACTGTGATAAATCTACTGCAGAACAGTGTGTGTTACATTTTCTAATAAATGGCTTTGTTTATTTCCTCATCCAGTATCCTGATGTTCGAAGAGAAGGTTAAACCCATCGAAAAACCAGTCGGTCTTCCACCAAAGAGAGATATCAGTAGTCTCCCTTGAAAACGCACATACTGATCACGTCATCAAAACAGGATCTCTTTGTCGTCTTCAGTTCATCACGTGACCACCTACTGCACCACTCTTTGCAATCAGCGATTCTTCTGGATAATTGTGCTTTGGCAAAACATTTCCAAGACGGAGCCCGTTTTTCAAGCTACACAACACAGGAACTGGAGAGCAGTTCCTTTCCAATCTCATTGATTGAACGTACATATTCAGGACGTGTATCTCTGATAGGCCAGCCATAGGCTCACTTCACTCTCAACAGCGATACTTGTACATATCTGCTTAGTTTCTGTTAAATTTCAATCGTTATCAGTGAGATACAAGAGAGATCAAGATGTGTGCTGCATTCATTTTTTTTAATTAGCCTTTTCTGTGTCTGCCTTTTTAGCAACATGCTAGTTTACATTGACACATGTCATTGAACATGAGCTCAGCACAACGTCAGGACCTTTGCAATTATCTTGTTACAAATACATGAAAAAAGGCCGCCCGATTACAGCTCCACATCATGGCACATTAACTAAGTAAGAGAAAAGAATCGCTTGGTCCTTGATTTATTTTGAGTAGTATAGATTTAGGTTGGGTAGTCTTTATTGAATTTTACACATTTCGGAAACGGCTTCACTTCTCTATATGTCTGTTTTTTGCAACTGTGGAACTGTGTTTACTCAAGGTTTGTTCTCTAACTGCCACCGCTGCACGCATTTGCATGATGCTTTGATATTTGCGTTCACATCAAGCGGTCATTTGTACAGATTTCCTTTTTGTATATATTGTGAATAGAATTTTGTATCTCAAGAATAAAGAATTGGGAAACACAATGGTTTGCTTTATTGCATTGAAGCTTCAAATAGCTAGAGATATTCTATAGAACATTGTGAAACAAAAGGAATAATACTTGACACAAGAGATGACTAACGGGATCGGGTGGTCAGGCTCATTGACTTGGTTGACACATGTCATCGTACCCAAATTGCGTAGATAAATGCTCATGCTGTTGACCACTGGATTGTCTGGTCAAGGCTCGATTATTTACAGACCACCGCCATATAGCTGGAATATTGCTGAATGCGGCATTAAAAAACAACAAAAAATAAACAAAACAACATCCATTCTATGTTAAAAATGTGACATGGATACGCCACGCAAGCTCCGTATGACAGATTATACGAGTCGGGCAGTCTCTTAATGCAGGCTGGGTTTCATCAAGTAGCATCATTTTACTCAAGGATTTGGGTATTACGAGTCTGCAGATCGGAACACCGATCCTCGACACAGAATCAATCTTCAAGACGACGGAGGCGGCAGGTCTTCTATACACATAGAATACGTACACACATCTTGAATGGGTTCAAATGTTTAATGAATCGCTTAACTTACCACAAGAAAACATTCCATGGGTAAACAAGAAGTGGATATGAAAGTATCGTTAGGACACAAATGCACTGGACATACATTTCATCTATTTACCGCCGAGTTCCCAACAAAACGCACAAACAATAACGTTGCGCGATCAGCTCCACACAAGAAAGAGTTCAAATGACCAAAATTCCAGGGGGCTGAGAACTTCATGACTGCAGAACTCACACATACAGTAGGTAAACTGTAATACGCAACTCGAAATTATGATTTAAAGCTAATTATCATCGTAAAAAATATGTCACCAAAACGAGACAAATGAATCTCCTAGGCAGGGATATATAAAACACAATATATTTTATGTTCCCCGCGGTTGAAGGGATTTTAATGAGAATACACAGAATGCACAATGTGTTCAAAGGAAACGTGACCTCTTTCTATCAGATTAAGCAGTCTGAGGTGATGATGATCTCCGCATGCAAAGCAAACAGCAAAAGCAAAATCTCATGGGAGTCGCGAGAATTAAACGTTATCTCATACCCGGTTCCCACTCAACACAGACACAATGCGTTAATAAACAGCATTCCGCAATCGATTTGATGTCTGAATGGCCTATTTACAAATGTTCCCTGTATGTGTGACTGCAAGGACAAATGTTTCCATGCTAGTGGATGTTTACAAAGTAAAACTACGGGTCAAAGTTGCTAACACGGTTTAAATTGTGTACTTACGATTCACGGGTTTTCAAACAAGGGGCATAACTCCGCAAGGCTTAAGTCTCAAATCGTCGCCACTCGCCTCTTCAGCCTGTCCACTGTCTATGAAAGTTATTTGCGCAAATAAGACTAACCAATCAGCTGTTTGGTCAGAATATTATTGTCAGAGATAGTTTTAGATCTTACATACGTCTTGTGTCTAAACATAAAGATACGGTTAATTGTTCTATACTCCTGCTGCGGCCTGCATATCACCTTTAGTCGGATGTATTTGAAATAACATGAGCAACATGTGGAACTTTGCGTGAATGTAATTTATGGTAGCTGTCCGACCCGGATTCTATTCCGCAAATGGATACAAATTATGAAACCCATTTCTGACGCGGCGTAAAACTAAACTCATTCACTCAGAAAATGGTGGCTTGTCCCGGAATAGCACAGGGGTTCAAATCAAATCTTTATTTCTGATACTATGAGGCCACGGGCCTATGAGTACAAAAACACCTCATCGGTGCAGACATGAAATAAAATGTTAACAATGAAAGCATGTATAATATATACAATCTTAATATGACAAAATTGATTTCCTTTTTTCGAATGCATAAAACAGATATTTAGCAGTATTCAAGGAAATGTCTTCATTTTGGGATGATAACACCGGATTGAATTTTAGTATATTGGGGAAAAGATATTTACGTCTTAATTCAATGTAGGCTGGACAGATAAGTAAGAAGTGATATTCATTTTCAATTACGTTTAAGTTTCACATGTTGCATGTTCTTTGTTCCCGGGGAATGTTATAGTAACGTCCTCTTTCAATTTCTAAACTATGGGAACTTAACCTAAATCGTGATAAACAAGATCTATATTTGGATACAGTAATACGAGTTAAGTATGTTTCACAAGAAATCGTTAATTTAAAATTACAATACGTAACATTTTTGGGCTCTCAGATAAATCACTATGGCAAACTTGCCGAAAATTATCTTTCAGTCGTTGAAAAAACATTTTAACAAAAACGTTTTTATCTCCGTAAGTGTGTGATACCCAAACATCACCAAAACCTAATTTAAATATGATGTTTCTAACCTTGGTAACCCAGTTCTCATAGCCTTGCTCATCATACATACGCATCATATTGTAACGTTTTCGAGGCAAACGGCATCCAGGCATGTAAATAAGATTTAACCAATATTTAATACATTTTAAAACAGCAGATAGTTGGACAGGGGCTAGTCACCAATGGTAAGGGAGATCAATATGTGAACCATGCGATTCATTTTTAAATGGACAAAATAACGTGAGACACAAACTATCAGCCGAGGGGAATAACTGTAAATGTATCGAGTTCTGTATGTACTTTTTCTCGTACGCGAGTTGATATTAATTACTATTTGTTCAACAGCCAACTGTTTGTTCAATTACATCCCGACCTCGACATTCAATGCTGACAATAACGGACGACCTCGCCTACATGGGTTCTTCCAAGCCACCAGGGGTAGTAGTGTAGCCTGTGTTTAAAACATTCGCTCGTCACGCAGAAGGCCCTGTTTCGATTCCCCACATGGGTACAGTGTGTGAAGCCCATTTCTGTTGTTCTCCGCCGTGATAATGCTGGTATAATGCTAAAAGCGGCGTAAAACCATACTCAGTCAGTCCGAGCGATTTGTATTCTATTTCCAGATGAACGCCAGTATTCCCTTGATTGTATACGTGGCCTGTCAAAGGTTGCTACTTCAGTAGAGAAGGAAACATACAAATGTAGGAATAAAAACTTCTTGATTATTTTTCCTTCGATGACTGATTATTTAGCAATTATTTTTTTGTTTATGTAAAACATTTCTCGTCACTATATGGCTGAAATATTGCCGAGGTGACGTTAAATTCTAACTCACTCACTCACTCTTGATTATTTTATATACCGGATTACGATGCAGATTTGAACACCAAGCTGATGTTTATAAATATCAAGCTCAACGGCGTGGGACGTTGTCATAATATCATCCACCTGTTTGTCTTAGCGCTCCACTGCGTTCAGCTGACCTGTATACAGCTGGAATACTGCATTCCGCGGCGTAAAACAACAACCAATAAGACATTCATATATGACGTTTATGTACATAAAATATTCCCAATAAAAATGCAGATAAACAGATAAATGCCGATGAAGACGTTCAAGTATAAGCAAAATACCCATTATTAGATATGGATTTTGACAGCAATAATTATTGCCACATCCTTTGAAGCTCGAATACATTTGAAATAAATATGTACATTACTAAAATATGTATCTATAAATCATGCATGGATAAGTCAAACATTGCTTTGGAAAACTGACGAATCGCCCTGAGTTGAAATAAATATGGTACTATTTTGTCTCAAACACAAAATCCCTTTTCAAAGGCCTATATTAATGTCAAAACTAGTTAGAAAACTTACTGTAAGCTTTCAAGTGTGTTTGTGTTTTGCGCTATCAAAATGTGAGTACATATATTGTCCTCAACCTGTCTATACGATAACTGTATTCAAATCCTAAATGGAACAAAGGTTACAACTACTGTATTTAAATATTTGATGCAACCTCCCAATAGTCCCAAATCATTTGTAAATATACTCGTTGTTAGCCTCGTAATGAAATCACTGCTTAGATGTTTGCTTATGAACACTAACTTGAGATTATTACGTGTTAAACTTTATAATCAATTATGAGTTAAACGAGTTTAAAATTATTGGACAATTAACCTGTTAAGGGTATTACCGTCTCTTCATTCTATAAGTGTGATCAATTTCCTTCAACCATTCATCATCTTAGCCTATTTATGGGAAGTGACGTCGCACGTTAATCAGCCCTGAGTTAGCACCAAATTTCCTTCGCTCATTAGACGTTTTTGATTGGACGGCGATTTTTAGCGCATTAGTTCAAATCGGAATAAACGATCGATGATATCAATGGGACTTCTTTACACAAATCGATATGTGGTTAATTAACCATAACCAACGGGTATAGATCCAAGAATGATAAATTCCGAATCCGAGATTCGAACCCAGAATCCAGGTTATGAGACGTTTTGACAGAGTTATGGAGTTGAGCTGGTGTAGGGGTTATTCTAAATGACATTATATGTAAACCAGCAAATACAACATTGACCGTCGTCCTGACTTAGAAAGATTACAGCAGCGTTCAAGATCAACGGGAGACCTGACCCGTATCTCCACAAAATCTGCTATTAGCGATATCTAACATTAAACGCCTATCGCGATTATCATTAGACATCATGACGAACTTCACAGAAAAGATTCACTAAAGAGAATGAACAACCTCAAATTTCAAAAGAACCTAAATCGTGATATGCCAGGAAAATATAAATGTTTATGGTACGTCCACGTGACTGGTTTCAATATTTCAGTCGGAGTACTCTCGCCAGCATTACAACGCTTCAATCATAGATTACAGGAGACTCCAGATTGCTGAATGGAGACTCGGTCTGACCATTGTACCAGGTTCTGTCCCATACGTCGCACACGCCAGTCATACTCCGACTTTTCAGTTGTCACACAGACAACGATGACTACTTCAACTGACATCCAACCAGGCCTGTCCACGGGAGGTACAGGGAACTGAAGACGCATATGACGTGTATAACGTTTATATTCCATCAGATCATCATCATTAGATTGTACATATACTGTCAGCACGCCTGAACTAGCTACGTGGGTACAGCTACCTCACTTCTCATTTATCTTTTGGCTTATGGTCATGAATTAATCCGCGTCAGGTGACTTTGTCACGTGAACCTTTGGTCCAAAGACGGACAAAGTAAAATACACACCACCGGGTTAAGATAAGGAGCCAATCGCCATGACAACCATTTTGTGCTGAGCAAGCACACGGTGTGTAATACTGTGTAATACTACACTAAACACTTGCATCTACAGCGCTGATCTGATGCTGACACTTCCTGATGAGAACAACACAGGGACCACGAGCATATAAAACATGCAACTAAATAACTGATAATCAAATAAGAAGCGTCTCTAACGCAACCGGCAACGCGTTGCTTTTATGTGAAACCGTCACGCAATTAATTTCGAGATTAGATTCCGGATGGGCAGCGACTAGCGGAGCTACCTTGGTTCCTCAGATTTATCCCGACTAACTAGCACTGCAAGCACTTGAAATGGAACATAACTGTTGACAAAATGCTACATGTTACTGAAACCTTAACTAAAATTTAAACAAATATTATAGAATACCAAATTATTAATTAATGTTGATGTGTTTTGCACACATGGCATTGTAGCACCTCAGCTCATATAAACTGCGCGGCAAGAGAAAACTTGAAATTAACAAGACAATACAAACGTCATCAAAACGTTATAAGACAGAAAGTTATCGTCACACCACTGCACACGTAAGGTTCAACACAACAGTGACACCCGTATCAAATGCATTACCATCAAATGCCCGGTTCATTTAATCTTTAGTCATGGGTCACCGTATTTCTTTGGCCCTGCAGTTTATTGAGTCTTTTTATTCTGACAAATGTCATAAAATGATAATCATTACCCTGTATTCAATGCTATGGGCATCTTGCAGTCTTTGGCACGCTTTGATATCAACGATTGTTGAGACTTCATCAGCCACATAATACCGTTACAATACCGTTACAATACCGTTACATTCCATTTGAATCGATTCGCGTACACACAGACTCAAATAGTACATTCTAAGTAAGATTTCTCAGATAAATATTATCTTGGATTTCAGATATTTGACGGGGTGGTGGGGTAACCTGGTGGTTGAGGCGTTCGCCAAAGATCCGAGTTCGATTCCACACTTGGATACAATGTGTGAACCCAATTTCTGGTGTCTATCGCCGTGATATTGCTGAAATATTGCTAAAAGCAGTGTAAAACATCACTCACTCACTCACTCATATACCCGACGACAGCTAACAGGACCCTGCTCCACAAAGCCATGTTATCGTTAAGACGGTCGTAACGCCTATATGCCAACACAATATGCTAACCCTGAGATCACGTTGTGTAACGAGGCCGTTTGTCAGCAATATTGGTCCTGCGAACTGAAATGGTTGTGATATAAACAGAGATGGAATTAAGTGGCGTCATAAAGAACCATGTCACAGAACTCACCAAACATTATTCCGTGACACGCGCACATGCGGGGGTGCTAAATGCAAGTGAAATTCATCACCGTGAGCAAGGACAAAAAGGTCATGCAATTAAACAATGAGGTCTTTCAGTTGTTTCGGAATGAAATCAAGAGCCACGTTCGTATCCTTTTAAACATGTAAAACCACGAGCTCTTTAACTGTGATCTCCATTACAGGTGTGTGAAACACTGGCCAGCATTCAGCCCACCTCAGTCCCACATAGGTTATCTCTGTCACCACTCGCTGGAACCCATATTGAAATTTAGGCATGCGCATACCATATAACTAAACGCAGCTTGCCAGTCATTGCGATCTACATGCAATTGCCCAGAGTGTCCATCTTAATTCTTCATGCATATGTGTATACCACATATCCGTCTTGCATGGAATACATTATTTTTTTATAAAAGTTCGTCACGGTAGGAACTTCAAACGGAGGTATCTCACGTGAGACTGATTATATAACATCACTGTAAGATCGCCACTTCTGCCAGAGGTATTATCAAACTGGCGGACTAAACCGAGTAAATCCGAGTGTCGGAGATTTACGGATTTTGTTTTAGCTTCATAAACACATACGTCTGTAAATCACGCTCGCTTTTAACAGGCACACCACGTGGTCACCAGGAACATTATAGGAAAGACGAGCCGACCTGTAAAGGCAAACATTAATCTGAATCCACAAAAATGGAAACTGAATGCAAAAGGAGTCAAGTGAAGGTCAGAAAATTCCCACAAAGGTCAATATCATTTCTACTGGCCATTATAATATTTTCGGATAAAATTCAAGCCGACAGAATCATATCCGATTTAATGTCATTTTGATTTCGATAGCACACTCTGAATGTTGTGTTGTTCTCGCTGTGTTGAAGGTGGCTAGATGATTTCATGTGCTAGCTCCGCGTTCCTCTCTTCGTTGGTTTCTCGAACTTCAATCTCGATGTTGTCCAATTTGGCGAAAAACTGCAAGAAAATAAAAAAACGTTGTATGCACATGTAGGTGCCCCATTTAAATTACGCAGTGAAATATTGATGCATGAATGAAGCAAGGAGTTGTACCGCTTTCAGCAGTGGTGCAAGCATATTGCACATCGCACTTCACAGTACTCCCGCTAATGGATCAGTACTGCTGGTAATGATATACATTCCAGGAGCTTCCAAAAGAAACATTAAAATATATCAACATCTATTACAGCTCTGGTAGTAAACATCAAAGAATAACATATGGTCATCTAAACTGACGAACAAAAGAAAGTACAACAACAAAAAACAACAACTTTCAAACGTATTATATTTTGAAAAGTGTTTTGATTATGACAGATATTGTGTACGCGTTGCCAAGACCTCGTACACAGATATTTGTAGCGTACCCAGTTGTGTCGTTGAGAGCGTCTTACGTCACTGTGTTTTATCAGCAGGGCATACTGGAGTTACGAGCTGAATGGGCCACAAAACAGATGCTCGAGGACTGTTTAGCTCACTAATAGCGAATGTATCATTGTGTATTTGCCACGAAATATGTCCATGCGACGTTATCTGACTTGTGTTACGAACGCCAGTGGTTCCTTACGGTACACCGTAACAGTAAATTTCAATAGGGTTAGTAACACTGTAGATGACGTCATTGTGTCCGTCTAGGCCAGTCGGCTCCCTAAAGGGTTTTCACGAGTAACAATAATAGCCTTCACTCAAATATGACATACCTACGTGTTATCTTTGTGGCCTGGCGCCACACCAGTCCCGTAAATAACCAGTTTAACAAGCCAATCAGTGTCAGTGCCGGACCACCGGGAACTGAACCCAGTTTAATGGCACGTGGGTTTGACCAGCACGGGGTATTATGGGTCTAATATTCCCCGGAAATCCCACGGGGATACTAGTATCTGACGTGACTGTATTACAGTTGATAATGTCATACTTGTCGCACATAACGCCAGAACAGGACCGTGGCAATGGTAACCAATCCCACTAACATACAATACGCAGGGACTGACTGTGATAAGGAGAAACCCAGTAAGAACTTGGTGGTAGATTAGACTTATTATAGAGACGATGTGCTATCGTTTCCAGATGGGTGGGGATCTTGCTTTCAGTCACAGGTTTAAGCCAAGCCCGACTGAGAACAACTGACCATTTTTAACATTAACCAAATGTGACGTGGACATAACGTAACCATGGTTTGTTTGTTGTTTAACGCTGCACTCAGCAATATTCCAGCTATATGGCGGCGGTCTGTACATAATCCGAGTCTGGACCAGGCAGTCCTACAGCATGAGCATCGATCTACATCAATTGGGATACGATGACATGTGTCAGCCAAGTCAGCGAGCCTGACCATCCGATCCCGTTAGTTGCCTCTTACGACAAGCAAGGATTACTGAAGACAAATTCTAACCCGGATCTTCACGTAACCATGACACCCTGTGCATGTACAACAAGACAGATAACCCCAATGGAAAAACTCTCTGATCCTGTTTGAATTCCGTACCCGATCACCAGCAACCTCTGCCTGCAGTCGATGTCAATTGAGTAAGTGAGTGAGTGAGTTTGGTTTTACGCCGCTTTTAGCAATATTCCAGCAATATCACGGCAGGGGGACACCAGAAATGGGCTTCACACATTTTGCCCATGTGGGCAATCGAACCCGGGTCTTCGGCGTGACGAGCGAACGCTTTAACCACTAGGCTACCCCACCGCCCCTGTCAATTGAATAGATCGGGTACGACGCTCATAGCTCAGAGGTCGATCTGTGGAATAACAGGTAATGGGTTGGAATGAGGAGGTTTCGACGCCATGGGGAGTTTCGAAAAATAACAATCACTTGTTTGTCTGATCCGATTTTATGCAGGCTACAGTCATAAATATTGCTCACTGAAAGCCTCAGTGTCGCTAATTTCAAAGGGAGACATTTGTGTTTACATGCCACTGAGCCTCGACGGAATAAGTCGTTGTTGATACTGTCAACCACTGGCTTAATTTGTCCAGGCTCGACAAAGTTCTGCTCTCGCTGACTGCTGCGTCAATCAATGTGGGATGTGAAACTTTGAGAGAACTAAAACATGTTCCATTTCCTCATGGCCCAGATATAAATCATATTTATATTGTAAAACCTTGAGGTTTTCTGTAAATTGGTTAAGAACCTGATGAAATGGGTTAGAAGCCCGAACATCTCTTGGATCATTCCCCATGAATAAGTTTCCCATCTCAAAGCCAAATTTGAATAATAAAGAGTGATTATATTTGACAAATTGGATACCGCTATATTGACAAATATGTTTTATCAAGTTATCAGTTTTGTGGGTTTTAGTGTACTCGATGCTCGAAAGATTTCCCGTTTGAAACACCGGCTAATATTTTCTATCGATGGAACACAGTCATCACCAAGATGGTTTCACGTAGATAACGGCGTGGACCAATCAGAATGGAACATTCCCGAACGTCAATGTAAAATACTCAATAATATCCGCACATTTGAAAACACGTAATGTTTATCACTTAATTCAACTTCAGTAACAACTAAACGAATGTGACCTTTAAAAAGAGTCAGGATTCCTGCTATTTGAGGTGACTTTCATGAACAACACTCGCGTAACAAAGCTGAAAATTGATGAAAAACCCCTGTTTTCTATGCGTTCCCATCTGTATCAGTCATCAAGTTGGCTGTGTTATTTACATCAACATACCTCCTTCTCAGCTTTCTGTCGCCTGTAGTCCGCTTTGATGAATGCTACAAGAAAAATAACATACGTTATGTCAGCCTTATCGACCTAGTTTTCCGATAACCTTCCATAACATATGTTATACTTGGGATTGCAATTCGTTTAGACTAACACCAATTCTCTGAATATATACTTTTTACAGTAACAAATAAACCTATTGAAATTATAGAGGAGCCCGGTGAGATGAGATGAGTGATTCAGAACCTGAGGAAATCTAGACTTGCTTCCTTTACAGCTTTAGCATCGCAGGGAGGGCTAGGCTGTAGGGAAAATTCAGGGACTGTGAGGCAGACCACACTTCGTTCTCTACCGTCAGATCAGTCCCCAATATAACGTCCTATATACCGTAACGTTACATTTTACCACTTTCTAAATGGCATCGTGTATTCATAACCTTCCACAATAGAAACATAGATTCATCTCCTATTGCCAAATCTAGATACGTTTATATCCACATACCTACACAAATACACAATCTTCAGGTGTTATATTTTATTTTAAAATTTTCATTCTTTTCAGAGACAACTTAAACATTGTTTTTACTAAATGAAACTAATAGTACAATGATTGTCCTGAAAAGAAACTGCTTCATTTAAGTGCTTCATTTAAATCACCAATCAAACTGTGAAACATAAAATGCATGGTCTGATCCACATGAATCATTAGAATAAGGCTGAATGTCTGAAAATATAATTATCATTTTGTTAGAAACAAGCGTCTCCATTGTCACTGAAAAGCAGCCGTAGTGAGATGGGTGATTCAGGAGAAATATGTAGTAATTTAAGATTTACTTAATTTGGGGGTATAGGTTTAGAGTAAGGGCAGTGCTGAAGGCGCAATATGGTGTTTCAGGGATGGGAAACAGACTAAGGTATGATAATCTCAGGAGCTAAGGACGCTAGTAGTCTGTCTCACAGTCCCTGAACCACATTAATTTCACTACTGCCAAGCCCTCTCTGCAGTGCTAAAGCTCTAAATAAAGCAAGTCTAGATTTCCTCAGGTTCAGGTTCTGGATCTCTGGTCTCCCTAGGGCTCCTTTTCAATATAAATGGGCTTGTTTATTACTATCAAAATTATATATATTCAGAGACTAAGCCTTAGTCTAGGACGCTAGATACGCTCATCCTTTGTGATTAAACCTTCTCAGCTGGTGGCTGTGAATGATTAATGGTTTTCTACCGAGAGCAAGTAGCAAACTAAATCTATGGGAAATAAGGCTTAAATAATACAGATTTATAGCTCTTGAGTTTAGACGGTTAAATAAGAAGGACACATGTTGCCTACCCGTCATGATGCTGCCGACCAATAGAGCCACAGCCAGCGTAAGGTTGCCAGCGAGCACTCCAAGACGGTTCATTATCGCCCGCATCCCGATCGTAAAGATGATGCCAAAAAACTGTAAAATCGATTGAATAATACATCAAGTATTGATCGTTCTAGTGGCAGTACCGGCGTCCAAACAGTTTAACTGTCTGAGTGGTCAGGATGGTAAACACTCGATAAGACAATCTATAAAAGGTAAGTGTTTTCCAGGCAGTAATATGTTCCTGGAATTGGTATATATTGCAAGAGTGGTTCAATGCGGAATTACTGTGCATCCCTAGTTCTGTAGCTATTCTGGGATGCGGTCTATAAAACATTTACAGGTTCAAGGATTTAGGGTGATATCCTTTTGATATTAGCGCATACATCTTCTCCATGGGGACGAATGATCAGGTTTTTTGACAGCCCCTGTAGGAGGCATTCAAACACAGCAATCTGCTTACCCAAATTAACATACTAAATGCATATGACAACCTGATGTTTAATGGTGACACGACACACAAATACACACAAGGCATTCATGGAGGTTAGCAACATTCCAGCACAAACCCCGTTGGGCATCAGAAGTCAGCTTTACACATTGTTCACATGTGGGGAATCGAACCCAGGGCTGTGACGTGATGACACTTCCACCACTGGGCTATGCCACAATGTACTTAGTACAACAGTCAGCACTGAATCATATTCTATAAACCTATGTGACATCATACTGAGAACAAGATACAAACCAACCACGGCATGCTAAAATATGACACGTTAGAGGAAACATAACTCGTTACTTTAATTTTCTTCCTAAGACTGATACCTCTGTTAAAACACATAGAGCAACGCATTCGTAATTAGGGACACCTGTCGTGGATCACGAAGGGGCCTTTAGACCCGTCACACAGCTGTGGCAGATTGACAATTAATGCTCTTCATGTGCAGATTTAATTTCCTTATCATAACAATATGATTTGTTTCAGTGTTCTGGTTGATTACATAAGCAAATACGTCTAACTCAAGTATGACAAATTATTTTATTAATTTTCGTAACTATTCAGATTACATCAGACTGTTTGTGAGACAATTTTTTAAGTAGGACTACTACGTTGAAATAACTAAAATGCAAAACAACACCGTAACACGTGGCAAAGAAGTATTTCTCACCTGAGCAGATGCATTGAGAAGACCAGAAGAAGTGCCTTCGCCTTCGGGAAATGTAATTTCTGCCGCAAACTCAAAGCCCACTGGCAGATAACCCGTCATGAAAAAACTGAAATCGGGAGACATAATGATTGATAACGACAACGGGATACATTCACTCATTGTACAACAGTAAAGGTGTATATTTACTCATTGTACAACAGCAAAGGTGTATATTCACTCATTGTACAACAACAACGGGATACATTCACTCATTGTACAACAGTAAAGGTGTATATTTACTCATTGTACAACAGTAAAGGTGTATATTTACTCATTGTACAACAGCAAAGGTGTATATTTACTCATTGTACAACAGCAAAGGTGTATATTTACTCATTGTACAACAGCAAAGGTGTATATTCACTCTCAGGTGTATATTTACTCATTGTACAACAGCAAAGGTGTATATTTACTCATTGTACAACAGCAAAGGTGTATATTTACTCATTGTACAACAGCAAAGGTGTATATTTACTCATTGTACAACAGCAAACAACATTGTACAACAGCAAAGGTGTATATTTACTCATTGTACAACAGCAAAGGTGTATATTTACTCATTGTACAACAGCAAAGGTGTATATTTACTCATTGTACAACAGCAAAGGTGTATATTTACTCATTGTACAACAGCAAAGGTGTATATTTACTCATTGTACAACAGCAAAGGTGTATATTTACTCATTGTACAACAGCAGAGGTGTATATTTACTCATTGTACAACAGCAAAGGTGTATATATTTACTCATTGTACAACAGCAAAGGTGTATATTTACTCATTGTACAACAGCAGAGGTGTATATTTACTCATTGTACAACAGCAAAGGTGTATATTACTCACTCAAAGGTGTATTGTACAACAGCAAAGGTGTATATTTACTCATTGTACAACAGCAAAGGTGTATATTTACTCATTGTACAACAGCAAGGTGTATATTTACTCATTGTACAACAGCAAAGGTGTATATTCACTCATTGTACAACAGCAAAGGTGTATATTTACTCATTGTACAACAGCAAAGGTGTATATTTACTCATTGTACAACAGCAAAGGTGTATATTTACTCATTGTACAACAGCAAAGGTGTATATTTACTCATTGTACAACAGCAAAGGTGTATATTCACTCATTGTACGAGGTGATTGATTGCCGCTCAATCCGGACAGAATAGTTGCATGATCCATTTAAATCCATACTAGATGAACACAATGTTGTTTACAGTGCCAGAAACCTTCTTCTTGTTAAAACACAACTGCACCTTTTATTGTTTATTTGGGCAACCAAGCAGCTACTGAAGCACTTACTGCGTCATACCAGCTTTGTTCCTTCACATTAAACAGTTAGCCCCAATACATACACGGAAAATGTGTAATGGGTTCTTTTGCAGTGAGGAGTTGAAACGACTGAGTGAGTATGGTTTTACGCCGGTTTTAGCAATATTCCAACTATATCACGGCGGGGAACACCCAAAATGGGTTTCACACTTTGTACCCATGTGGGGATTGAACCCGGGTATTCAGCGTGACGAGCGGACGCTTTAACCATTAGGCTACCCAACGCTCACTAGATAAAACGACTTGTCACATAGGTCAGACTGACTGACTGACTGAGTTTGGTTTTACGCCGCTTTTAGCAATATTCCAGCAACATCACGGCGGGGGACACCAGAAATGGGCTTCACACATTTTACCCATGTGGGGATTCGAACCCGGGTCTTCGGCGTGACGAGCCAACGCTTTAACCACTAGGCTACCCCACCGCCCCCACATAGGTCGGAAGGAATGCAGCCTCCACAACATCGACGGCCGTCCCGCACGGCGTCATCACATGTACCGTGAGTAATAAAACGACCGTGCTTGTGGGATATACGGAAGTCGGAGACCTGTATCACGTGATTCCTCCCACTTGGCAAGCCATGACTGGACCCAATACCGTTGAATGCGGCGTAAAATAACACTCACACCAAGTACATACTCACCCTAATGCTCCACCTGTTAGGAATACGATCCAGATGTGCCCCAGATTCATGGTGAATGTGAACACAACCATGCCCACCATTGACAGGATGTAGATTGTGAGCGAGGTGCCCCTGGAAACATCATCCCATAGTATAATATACAGTATATTACCAATAAGGAAAATAAGTGGAATGAAATAAAATTGCCTTTCTAACAGCACAATCCTGATCAATGACATTTGTGATGAGGAAATAAGAAGGTCTTTAGGTGGTAAATCTCTTGTTGGTTGTAGATCAAATAATGCAATATCTACATCAGCCTGATTTGAGAGACATTTACTGTTTTTAAAGTCTTATTGAAATTCAATTAACCTTTGTAAAAAATAAAACGCTGATAACGAACTGCCGGGTTTATCGAATTATTTGTCTTTATGCCCCGGCCACTTGATGTATATTTTACTTGAAATAACGAATTACTTAGTGGTCATACTTAGTGGTCCCTTGAAGATATGATACGTTATAACCGTAGATTACTGTTTACAATTAAATATGTTGGTATGTACATTCTTCCCCCGTTCATACAAAGATTTAAAGGCACAATGTCACACATTTTCGACAATATTTTGGCCTATATTATATATATTGGGGCATATGCAGTCGCTTTAGCTTCCTATTGATGCAATAAAAGACTTATTATCCCTTACGACCTGCCTGAAATCGATAATTGAAACATTGAGGCAAACAGCTTCCAAACAGAGAACACTTGCCATATATGGAATGTAAACTATTATTGCTTCACGCACGCGGTGTTGCAGGTGTTTGCCGACTTGGTTTCAATCACAAGTTGTGCGTAGGATATTCGTAAAGAGCGCTCCAAGGGACATAACTCTATGGGGTTCGCTTGAAATAATGTTTGGTCGGTAGAGGGCGCGAGAGTCGATTTTATACAACATTGCATTAATTCATTCGTAATTTTTAATTTAATATTGTAATGTAAATACTTTTTTTTAGGGAATAAATAATAGGGTAGCTTCCCTGAGGGCTTATAATTAGTATTATTGAGAGAAATGCATTATTTATTTTTGGAGAAGTGTGGGGTCATATAGTGCCTTTAACCATCGACGCTGACAAGCCGATCAGAAAGTTCCTATAACCAGACATGATGCGTTCACGGTTATTCAGACAGAAATGTAGAATAAGATGAAAAAAAAAGAGACTGACTGGTGAAAGACGTGCAAAATCTGCACAGATCTCCCCAAACTCACCACAGATCTCCCCAAACTCCCCACAGATCTCCCCCGTCACTCATGTCTGGCGTATCCAGGAACTATTATCGTATAATCCATGTGGGACGTCGCGAATTCAAACCATTTAATCTCCGTTATTTCAGATCTATCAGGTCAAGCCAAATTGTATATTTACAGAGTGTTACCGGACGGAAATTTTGTTTTCTTTACCTAGAACTGTTGCACTTCAAGTTGCATGAGATGCTAAAGAGTATGGCTGGTTTAATCATAAACCACATTTCAGTTGTAGACAAGGTAGTATGAACACCACATCAATGTTTGAGATTTTCAAGGTAGTATGAACACCACATCAATGTTAGAGATTTTGAAGGTAGTATGAACACCGCATCAATGTTAGAAATTTTCAAGGTAGTATGAACACCACATCAATGTTACAGATTTTCAAGGTAGTGTGAACACCACATCAATGTTACAGATTTTCAAGGTAGTATGAACACCACATCAATGTTACTGATTTTCAAGGTAGTATGAAAGTAACAAGTTCAAAACACGTGTGTAACAAGTACAAAATATACAAATAGTAAAATGTTCTGGAAAAGCAATCTATTTTAATATGTCTTGTCTTATGTTCCTGTTTGGGGTCAATTCATAACATCTTAAACAATAATACAATTGCCAGTGAAAAGGTTCACATTTTCACAAGTCCATGATTTATTTATAGTCACCACTGGGTCAAGGGTTGAAAGTAGTTCCTATGCAAATTAGCCAAGTCTTAATGAGGTCAGGTCTGCTGTCTTGTCCTTGGTTTTTATTGGCTGAAGATGTGCAGCATCTTGATTGGATGTTGACTTAAGTTGCATTTGGAAAGTGTGAAGTTTGTTCACTTGCTGTCTTTCTCCCAACCTGGCAAGGTGGTTGGAAAGTCATAGATGGAGGATTTTGACTTTGGTGAATTACAGGTTAGTTACACTTGGTTTTATATAAAAGGAATAAACTACAAAAATATGTTTAATTGTTGAAAGGTTAATTCAGTATTTATTGTAACTGAATTTATGCATTTGGTGGAGGTATATTTTGACCTATGGTTAGAAATTGTTGGTGTCAATAATTTCACTTACAATTGATTCAGATTAATGTTTGAGTCCAAACAGATTGTACGTTTACATTACTGGTGAGAATTAGCATTGCTATGCTAATTAAAACATACATATTTTAGGTCCTTGGTGTTTTGTTGGTGCCTCACAACATGTGGCCAGTTTGAAGCACGTTGTCCCATAGATGGTAAGACACGTTGATGTTTCATTGTTTTAAAGATGCCAAATGTGTTCCATAATTCCTAAGGATCTTAATATGAAACTGAACCATTGATTTTGTGATGTCAATTTGTTTTGAGTTCTTTTATATGTTCAGTGGTAGAGCTGTGATTGTTAATTATCTGAACAATGTGCAATGAAATGAATGTGATAAAATAGGTATTTTGATGGAGTGTTATATATTCATATACATTGTTTCAGACTTGTATTATTTATACAAACTACAGTAATAAAAAGGAAATTGCAGCCTCAACGGAGTTGTGTCGTTGTGAAAGAGCCATCCCCGTTACGTGAACACCACATCAATGTTAGAGATTTTCAAGGTAGTATGAACACCACATCAATGTTAGAGATTTTCAAGGTAGTATGAACACCACATCAATGTTACAGATTTTCAAGGTAGTGTGAACACCACATCAATGTTACAGATTTTCAAGGTAGTATGAACACCACATCAATGTTACAGATTTTCAAGGTAGTATGAACACCACATCAATGTTACAGATTTTCAAGGTAGTATGAACACCACATCAATGTTACAGATTTTCAAGGTAGTATGAACACCACATCAATGTTACAGATTTTCAAGGTAGTATGAACACCACATCGATGTTACAGATTTTCAAGGTAGTATGAACACCACATCAATGTTACAGATTTTCAAGGTAGTATGAACAGCACATCAATGTTACAGATTTTCAAGGTAGTATGAACACCACATCAATGTTACAGATTTTCAAGGTAGTATGAACACCACATCAATGTTACAGATTGTCTGCACCCAGTCACTCGGTTTTGCTTCAAACAAAGACAGTTCCTTCTATGGTTAGCTTAGGCTTTCTATATTCCAATCCATGCATTGAATACTGTTCGAAGGGGTGTTAAACTTTACACTCACTCACTCCAAATTGTACACACTACTGGCTCACTCGTTCACCCACCCACGCATCACGCCACGCATCCGTCACCCACTCACTAACTCACCTACGCATTAGTCCACGCATCCGTCAATCACTCACTCACTAACTCACCCACGCACTAGTCCACGCATCCGTCACTCACTCACTAACTCACCTACGCACTAGTCCACGCATCCGTCAATCACTCACTCACTAACTCACCCACGCACTAGTCCACGCATCCTTCACTCACTCACTTGAATGTCTTCGTCTTGTCCAGCCATATTCCAGCCACCACTGACCCCAGCACCCCTGCCAGGACGATAGTCAGACCAATACGACCAGCGTTTTGTTCCTGACCCTGAAATGGATGAGGCACATCAGATAGAGATAATATGATGAATTAATGAAATGAAGTGTAACACGTCATTCACTGTTACGATGGCGACCCGTACGTCAAAATGTAATATATACCAGACAGAGCCGGTGATGATGTCGTTAGCACAATACTGATGAGGATGGCACGATCCGAAATGTTTATTTTTCAAACTATAAATACTTCAGAATAAAACTATACATACAAAAAGCTTTCTCAATACACACAAAAACATATATTAACTGAAACAACAGTCTCATTACTACTGCCATTCTTAAATGACACTTAAAACATTCAACAGCCATTACCTCCTGTTTTCAGGGTGGATATGATGATAATGATGTGCATTATTATTAACATTGTTCTTGTTACAGTATTATCATGATTACTAAGAACACGAAGTTTTCGGATTTATACAAGGTCCTTTGGATATACAGATTCTTTATTACAATATATGCGACGCTGTTCATCAAACCAACTTATAAATGACACTCAAAAAAGTTCTATTTATATATGTTGTAATGTAGATATACAGAGAACAGGCTACAAATCGGGAGAAGTTAAGCAACGCTGGTGGCGGACAGTAGGTGGATGGGTGGCTCTGTCCAGCAGCTTCATTGAACAGCGTGGCTAAGAATTTCTGGCGATGCCATATACTGCGGTATATACTGCAGCCTCCATCTTATACAAGTGATTTTATTTGAAATATAGCTCTGTTCACCCACCAAGAGCTGAATGGGTACCCGGTTTGTATACTCCCCAGTGAGTCGAGAATGAAACTCGAGCGCACCCAAAATCATTGACGGACATGACCGAAATAACGTACCGACATGACCATGGACGTGGGGAGTGGGCTGATGCATCATAAATTGTCTGATTATTAGATCACAGATGTACGAGTCGTATGTTTCTTGGAATGATGTCAGCCTACAACCCATTATTCATTACTTTCTGAAAGCTTCCTCGTCCAGTCTTACATATATAACTCCCCTAGACACATTTAGGTACTCTCCACTCTCCGCGGAGTAATACCACATGGCATATGCCCTAATGGACAGCATGTCACGCAGACAAAGAGCTATCAACGCCGGCTCATACAGCTTAGAGTATGAAGGGCAAATGACGTGATATGCTTTGAATCGTGTAGGACTGTATTTACTGCTAACATAAGAAATATCCGTGAGCTATGACAGTAACAAATCGCATACGATAATAACCTCAGCGCACCGTCAAGAGCTGGTTGTTATTTCTCTTCAACAACCGATGCTTGTAGTTAGCGGAGACTAGAGGGGTCGGGTGTTCAGACTCACTGTCCTGGTTGACATCTCGGTTCGATGCTATTGCTATCAGTCCATAGTAACTTGAAAGGGCGTTACGTTGTTTGTTGTTTGTTTGTTGTTTAACGCCACACACGGCAATTTACCATATAAACGTAGCATGTAAACAATTGACAATACAATGAGTCATACTGTAAACAATGATCCGGGAACGATGACAACGTTGTCAACCACATCGCGTACCACCCCAGCGGAGGATTTATTCTAACCTATAACCCCTAAAGGGGTATCCCATCTGTGTTTTAAACGATGGCAATATACTGTCTTCTTTCAACACGAAAAACGACATTAGTCAGATTTGGGGCTGGAAAGAAACAAGCATACGTACCTCATAATAGTTTAGGACTACAGCGTTAAGCAGCGTTGATATAGCATAGTAAGACCCAGTATTGATTCCTGAAAAGTTATTAAAAGTTATTACACAATCTTGTACAAAGTATTTACTTGCAGTCATTATCTGTGACATCAAAGGTTAACATATTGAGAGGTTAATTGACTTAAAATGATTTACACAACATCGATAAGTGCCTTTATTCATGGACACGCACCAAGGTTCTGCTATGCTTTCTTCTATTTGCTTTGATGAGCTATCCACACAGTTGCCTTGTGTAGAATAAGGTCCCTAGATACCACGACCTCAGGACGTCACAGCAATTGAGGGTCTCTTTCACTCTACATTTACATCATCAACGCTAACCAATACCGCGACTTGACGTGGTGAACAACTAATACTGACATACCATTACCTTGAATCAGTATGCAGTTCGTTATTCTCTGAAGATACCAAAGGCAACGGCGAAAGAGATTTTGCTATTCCTCGGAAGTAATCCATTTAAATGTTTAGACTACAGCTTCTACAAGTATGACACCCTTGGCACCATAAATGGTTTTTCTATATTTCTGGTGAAGAAAATAAGCAATGAACGCCAGAGTGCACGGTACCGTTACAGTGATGGATGGGACGGGGAAATGAGTCAACGTGGTGTTGGGATTATCTGGAATCGATCAAAAGGCTACAAGGGTCGGAACGTACAAACCAATAGCGTAACGATAGTCGGAATACAACCTCGCTCCTAGAGAGGGACATTCGCTCTGTAGCGTGAAACGATCTTGAGGTGAAGAATATATGTACGGTTTCCGAAAGATTTCAAGAAACTGAAATGCATGACATTGTGTCCCCATAATGTTCGTCGACACGAAAAAAGCCGATTTCTTGACGAAATGGTGTTGGCATTTATTTGAATGCAAAATATATAAAATATATAAATAATTTTGTTATATTTACGTGTATGTCTACTATTATAACCACCAACCTGATGACATTTCCATGTGTACATATACCATTTTGAATAGTTCGAACAGTTTACAATTCCAAACCTCGTTTCAAATGTTAGAAATAAAACATACCCATCAAATTTCCAGATACAGAAAGTATTTCGACATTTGACATTGTCAAATGTTTTTTGAACATTTGAGACATACGATTGGAACATTTCGAACATGAGACATGCGATTGGCACCTGTACGTTTGGAATACGTAGAGACACAAATACCAAATCAATGAGTTGTGTGCCATTCTAGTTTCTTCCAAGACAGGCCAATGCCGACATGGTTGACCTTAATGACGCAAGCAAGACCTGAATGAAACTAAATGTGAAATGTCGATATCTAACACACGAAAGGAGGAGGCATTTGAAAGACACGCTGGTGGTACACTTGTATGAGTTTATTTCATAGCAGTGTTTTGTTTTGGTGCCAAGGTACCATTTCCCGGAATGTTTCAAACCTTATGTCATTTTCACATCTGTACTGTTGTATATATGGTAAACGTCTGGAACTCTAGTAACTCTAGGTGACAGACAAACATTCCAAATGCGATTTCACCACGTTTGTAATATGTTTAAATGAGCCAGTCATTTGGATAACTTTCAAATCCTTTTTGAAACACTTAAAGAATGGTCTTTTATATTTCCATCAATTTCAAACCTTTATAAATCCGATCAGGTAAAATGCCTTTATTCCGTTATGTCCAAGCACAATTATGAATACATGTAAAGGCTTCATTATGATCACACATTCCAACCATGTGACTTACAAAGATATACAGTCAACTCTCGTTAATCTGACACTTGTGGTTGCAGAGAAATATGTCGGATTAACGAAAATGTCGGATTAATGAAAATGTCGGATTAATGTATTTGTGTGAAAATATCAATGTTTGCTAAATGTCATGATCGTCATACTGTTGCATGCATATCAGGTAGATCTAGTTATCTTCATCGTATGTAAAAATATTCACAGAAATATAAAAATACTAACAATACATGACATATCATTTTCCAAACGTACTGTCGCCTATAGGCATAGAATAGACCAATACCAAAACTTATTCTAAAAATGAGAACACAGATAGGAATTCACTCATTCGTACAGTGGTCTAGCCGTGGCACAGCATGGCGGCAGACACCTGCAATATGCTTCCTACACTGTACTTATGTTTGGAGTAGAACCCCCAATGGACTGACTGACTGACTGAGTTTGGTTTTACGCCGCTTTTAGCAATATTCCAGCAACATCACGGCGGGGGACACCAGAAATGGGCTTAACACATTGTACCCATGTGGGGATTCGAACCCGGGTCTTCGGCGTGACGAGCCAACGCTTTAACCACTAGGCTACCCCACCGCCCCAACCCCCCAATGGAAAGTGTATGATCACTTGGTAGGTTTGTTGTTTCAGCTATATGGTTGCGGTCTGTAAACAATCGAGTCTGGACCTGACAATCCAGTGATCAACTTCATTAGCATCGATCTACGTAATTGGGGTACGATAACATGTGCAAACCAAGTCAGCGCGCCTGATCAACCGATCCCGTTAGTCGCCTTTTACGACGAGCATGGGTTGCTGAAGACCAATGCTAACCCAGATCTTCGCCGGCGGCAAGAGTATGAGACTAACCGTAGGATATTGTAAGGATGATGAATCCCGGGTTCTTGAGCAGTCTGAACAGGGATGACAGGTAGTCCTCGTTTTTAGAAGCTTCCACAGCCAGCATCTGAGCCCGACTGGGAGGCTTGGGAGGCGCATCCTTCAGTACTGAAACAAAACCATTACTTCAATGAATACACTTGCACAAGTCCAATCGTGAGATATATTGCATTGGGCGTAAGTCAAAGTCAGAATATTTTGCAATTAAATCAGCTTCCTTCCCAGAATACGCTAGTACACTGAGAGATAGGGGTGACTATTGAGGGGAAAACTACTATTGCGACAGTGATTGCCTATTGCAACATACTATTGCGATATTGATTGCCTATTGCAACATACTATAGCGATAGTGATTGCCTATTGCAACATACTATAGCGATAGTGATTGCCTATTGCAACATACTATTGCCCTAGCGATAGTCTATTGCAACTAACTATTGCAATATTATAGCAATAGTTTTTTTTCTCCTTGAATTGTCTCATTTGAAGTAGTTTCCCAAATGGATGTATAGATTATATGAAAAAAAACAGGTTGAAGTAGTTTCAGTCTCTTTTAATGAGTGACAAGAAACTTGAAACCCCGATCAAGTAAACAGTTAAAACATAAAGTCAATGTAGCTGCAAGTCTACATCCAAATAATCCTGTATTTTGCGCTGCGCATTTATCAACGGAAGTCAATTATTAAACTATCTATAGTCACATATACTATCGATGCATCGATAGTTTTTCGTTTCCACCATCGATTTATTGCTATCGGAGACTCAACAATTGCAATCCATCGATAGTTCGATGTATCATATTTTGGCGTACTTCTTACACATTTTCACAAAACACAATAACTATTTCTATTGTATAAAATTTCAGTTCCGAACTGTTCAGAAGGACCTATGTAGGACATGGCAAGTATAAAACATACGCGATCCACTGTGAAATGTAGCAGTTGTTGCAATTATGTGAAACGACAGCCGGTGTGTTCACCTTATCAAGTGTACATAACACAGATGATTGATGACTTGGAAATTTTTGCGAGATTGTGCACATACCAAATGGAATCTCGTTTAGATTATGTAAATGTAATAAATGCTCTCTTTATTCGGAACAACAAAGAAGAGAATTTCAAAACTGTTTTAGAAAACCCGAATAACCTGTATCAGAATCCTATTAAATATACCACTACACAATATATTTGTTCACGTGTGTTCGTTAAACTCAGACTCAACTACATTGTGACAGACAAATATCCTTATCTAACGTATTATACAAGGCACTTTTCCGCTTACAAATTAAAAGGAGATATGCTGTTTAAACTTGTTCACCACCACCTAGATAAAGAGATGTATAAGAGGTGTATTTATATATTGGTTCATAAATAACAAAATAGGTGGGGTAGGGTAATATCAATGAAACAAGTAAGTAGAGCGTCCTGTAGATTGTGCTGGACAGGCAGTACATAACCAGCGACGATGCTATGTATCTCAACACCCGATCGGGGCGGTGGAGTAGCCTAGTGGTTAAAGCGTTAGCTCGTTCGATTCCCCACATGGGTACACTGAGTTAAGCCCATTTCTGCTTTCCCCCGTCGTGATATTGCTGGAATATTGCTAAAAACGGCGCAAGACTAAACTCACTCACTCAACACCCGATCCATCTACGCCTGACCCTCTTACAATTGGTAGAGACTATTTTTATTTCAGAGTGCATGCCATGTCATTATGGTGATAGCTTTAAACATGATTTCTACAAATGCCGACTGCCACCTTGGTGTGGTGGATTAAGTATCTATGCTAAGGCGGAAGGTACCCGGGAGCACTATCAAAACGAAACATGAGTCTCATTAACCTATTCAGACAATGACGTACTTTTCATCCGATCCGAATTTTCTCGTGTGAAAGTGAGACATCACAAACAACTATGGTTACACTGAATTCCAATTCCTTGTTTCATAAGAAAATGGTATTTATAAATGAATTTTAATTTTAAACTTTAAAAACATCGTATTTTTATATTTTATGGCGAGGTGACGGCAGCATGACCTTAACTAAGACGTCACGGACTGCCCCTGTTTGATGAGGTCGTCAAATGATTCACAATTTATCTGGCTCACTGGTTACATCTGTTACATGTCATTTGTGCATATTCAGTGTAGTTTTGTAACGCACAATGTGGCTGACGTAATATCAAGTCCGTACCAGACCGCCAAACTTTTCTAGCGAGAGAGCCTCGTTTTGAGATGTCCACGATTTCCATATTTCCGTTTGTCAGAGCTCGCTGTACGACAGCGCACACTGTACGACGTGTTTGCAAGGATTAGAAGGAGCGTAGTGTTGCAATATACAAGTGCTTAGATATATCAAATAATACTGAATTAATAATTATGTATCCAGTTAAATGAATTGGTCTCAAAATTCTGGACTGGTTATTGTACTAAGTTGCGCAATAGGTCGGGACCCAGTCAGCAGGAAACAAAACTGTTGTGTAATCAATGTTTTGACTTGACCAAAATATTTTTTGTTGTTACCGAGACTGTCGTTCGGCTTAATGAGAATAAACCAATAACTTGTCTATTATACACTATACAGGTTCGTTGATCATGGTATAATGCAAAGGTTTGTCTGGCCTGGGAGCGTTGAGAACGGCGTTAAAAATCAAACAAACAAAAGAGTTGTAAATGATGATCTCCTTATGACACTTGTAGTGACGAACCAAGCGTTCTTTGGACTAAGATATACGTGAGCCTATGGCAATCTACATACTTACGATACTTCCTAACTCTACGAACGTTTTGTGAATAGGAACGCCGTATATAGTGTGACTGACTGGTTACTGCATAACTCCCAGTCAATGCCTAGACGTCGCTACAACTTGAATCAAGACGTTGATCATCCATTCATTATTCTTCTCTAGTGAGTGAGTGAGTTAATATTTAACGTCACACTATTCTTCTCTAACACTATACACACCTACAACTATGGCCAAGAAGAGCAGCGTGGTGAAGGCGGCCGTCCCATAGAACATTATACTGAGGTTTCTACCTACATCGTCTAGACTGGCGGAGTTGGGGACTATTTCTGGGGGTAAGAGGAATCCAGCTGCCACACCCACCTGCAACAGCACGACGGTATAACGGTAGATATAAAGACTCAACATGACATAAAAGTGTAGATTCGAGTGAGCTTTTAGCAATATTACAGCAATATCACGGCGGGGGAACCAAATATGGGCTTTACACATTGCACCCGTTTGGGGAATCGAACGGTCTTTGGCGTGACAAGCGAATGCTTTAAGCACTAGTCTACCCCACCGCCTCTTCTAGTTGTAGGATCACCGCTGCCAAACCCATTACATAATACAGATGGGTTGATATAAAGCATGTAGGGACAGTCGGGTAAAACACCATGTAGTTGAAGAAACCATGTCGCCACATCCACAACATTACACAGAAGAGTAGACATACAATAAATAGGAATAGATGTAGCGTTCTACAGAGAGCCAGCATTTGTCCAGGTGTGTACTTTTGACGACATGGAGTGAGTGAGTTAAGTTTTTTAGCAATATTCCAGCAATATCATGGCGGGGAACACCAGAAATGGGCTTCACACATTGTACCCATGTGAGGAATCGAACTGCACTTATGTACCAATAATAGTGAGACAATTCCGGTCATGGAGACATTCAAACTATTTCAATGCAAGAACGTCACTGATCGGAATGTACAAACATGTCAATTATAATAATATATCTAATATATCCGAATATACTTAATATAAAATTTCTTTAATCAGTACTTCTACATTTTCTCATGAATAAAGCTGAAAGTCGCGAAAGTGGTCAGGTGCATCTGATTCACGTCCTACGATATATCTGTAGTAGTACAATATCGTTTGATAATCGTTCGATTATGTAATATCGGTGGTAGCTCCACGTATAAGTAACATATAATGACAAGAACAGTTGATATATGTAACTACTATTGTTTTGTTTGATAAAGTGTTCTAAGGTTCCAATTTTATCAAATCAGTCAGTTCTGTCTTTAAGAAGTTTTCTTGTTGTGAAAGTGATTGTTTGGGAATGAAAAATAGTTTAGGTCTTACCAAGGTCTCGGTTATCAAATCAAAAAACTTGAAACGTTTACAACAATGTCATACGTGCGACATAGGAATGTTCTATCTCACCACCTGCACCTTCACCACATGTTAAAACACATCCCATTACACGTAACTAACGATGCTCACCTGGTTACCAAATACACCTATAGAGGTTGCTGTGGACACTTCGTTGGGCCCGAACCACACAGCGGCTAACCGTGCAGGGATTCCTATGACCCACATTTGAGCACAAGCACATATTGTCTGGGCAAACATAAGCACCGCAAATCTGTCCCCACTCACACTGGCGCATTTAATCCAGGCCCCTATGGCGTTCAGAAGAGACCCAAGAATATGGCAGATACGTAGACCCTTCTTGTCTAGTACCCACGTCGCCGGGATGACTAAAACAATGTACGCCAGCATGTACAACATCGACAACCAGTCAATGGCAGTTTCCCTCTGGAAGGCGTCCTCGGGGAGGCTCTCGTTGTAGAAGCGGAGAATGACGTTAGCGATGATGTTGATGTGGATCCACTGAAAGGCGCTACTGAAGCTGTAGATACTAAACAGCGCTAACATCAGCCATCGGGACCGATACACCTGTGGGTGGTCCTGTGTTGGTTGTAGGTGGTCCGTAACACCGGGTGTTGCTGGAGTAGTGGGGGAGGTAGGGGTGGTAGGAAGGAGGTTTGCGCTTCCATTTTCACCTGGATCTGTGGAAGGACGTTTTCCGGAAGACTGACCTGAAAAATGACGCATGATATTAACAAAACATGACAGTCAGTTTGTTGACCATGTTGTTCACCATGACGTCCCATGCATACACTGCAATACCTGGTCAAACGACGTCATCGGGAACGATGACACACATTGGCTCATTTCTGAAATTCCATGTCTTTGTGAACTATGCTTTTGGGAACTAGTACTGTCTTTTCTAACTAAATATTTTCAAGCGGGTGACATTTGGTAGGGCACTGGGGTTGGCGTGCTCAACATCCTATACTCAGAAAAGGAACTGTCAAACGTATATTTTTGTCATTCCATTGCATCATTAAGGCGAGACTGTGCATGTATAGAGCGTTTGGCTCAAAAAGCGGACCGATGAATTGCAATCTAACTAAAAAACTAATAAACATATAATACTCAATGAAACGCTGATCATAATCAAAACATCAGACCAACTCTGTGATTTGTTTGCAGAATTTATGTCCTAAAAGTGAAAAAGTTGTTTAACAAACTATCATTAACATATTGACACAGTTCACTATTTGTTACGAGAGAGGAGTGCAGAGAAAGGGACAGCCAGGTGTTAGAGAATAATAGTTGTGCAGAACTAAATTGACTGAACACGCGACGGGGCAACATACGCTCACCTATTATGGAACACCTGCTGATGATACAGTCGGTATTGTACAGTCGACCCTACTTTTAGTACAGATTTCATATGTTAGCGAAAATGATTCTGTCAAGTCATATAGAACTGTATGGAAATACATTTGGTTTTATGTAACCTATAGCAACATTCATTTATCTGCCACAGCTGGCTGCCACACCTCAGGTGATATATATTTCCCATATTCAGCAATCTACGGTATATATCAGGGCCTCCTGTCACAAAGCACTAAGGTGATCGTAAGTCACTAAGGTAACCTTAGTGCAATGTTAAAGAATGGGAGTTTAAGGTTAACCTTAGAAAAGGATGCTTCGTGAAAGAAGCCCCAGATCTGTAGGACATCATCCGTGGGATGGTAGATAATCATCTGATTGTTCGATCCTTATCCGTCTTGTAACCACAGGGGTAAAAGATGGTACTTGTTGATTCCCTGCGAGACGGGGGTACCTCAATGACTAGACCCCATTGGGTCAGTTCTCCTTTGTCTGCGTGGAACATCGTTGGTCAAACTGCGGCATGATCATTCAACGGTCAAGAACTACTACAATCTGAACTACTGTATTGAGTGAGTGAGTTTACTTTTATGCATCGCTCAGCAATATTCCAGCTATATGGCGGCGGTCTGTAAATAATCGAGTCTGGACCTGACAATCCAGTGATCAACAGCAGAAGCATCGATCTACGCAATTGGGAAACGATGACATGTGTCAACCAAGTCATCGAGCCTGACCACCCGATCCCGTAGTTGCCTCTTACGACAAGCAGGGTTACTGAAGATCAAGTCTGAACTACTGTCAGCGGCCGTGCACACGCACAAGCACACTCTCCCGTACACGTACAACATACAAATCGATTACAAATGTGTTGTCAGCATTCATCCATTGACAAGTATTTGCGCATATCTTTATCAACAGCAGTCGAGGGACAAGCAGCCATGATAATAACTCGAGTGACTCTAAGTTAAAAGAACGTATCTCCTAGCAGATTATTCCGAAGCTGACATTATTTAATATTTTCAAGTAACGCATCTCGGATTTTACACCGTCGAACAATCGGCTGCAAGTCAGCGTAAAGAAAACATGCAATAATGGTTCAGTAATTACACACCAAAACAGTCGGCTGGATCATATACTCTTCTCGTATATACTGTCATCTTGTAGTTTAGAAAGATATTACCATGTGCTTGAAACCAGGGTGACCAAATATGTTTGGCCTCGGATACCAAATCCGTTTTGTTCATATCGTTGTGCATCTACCTGCTGATGTCAAGGCTGAATTTGCCTCGAGTTTTTCAAGCTGAGCTGCAGGCCGAAATCAACACGTAGTCATGGTAACAGATTGCGGTTATTACTTATGACATATCTCAATCAATCTTGAGGATTGGCATTTGAACACTGTGACAATAAAACAGACAAATATGTATTTCCTGATGACAATTTCAAAACATAAAACTGATGGACAATATACACCATTGAACAATTTATAACCAATGTCGGAGTACACAGACGCCACGTTGACAATGGGTGAGGGAGTGAGTTTAGTTTTACGCTGCTTTTAGCAATATTCAAGCAGTGTAACGGCGGGGAACACCAGAAATTGGCTTCACACACTGTTCCCATTCGGGGAATCGAACCCGGGTCTTCGGCGTGACAAGCGAACGCTTTAACCACTAGGCTTCCACCACCAACCCCGTTGACAATGAGTCATGCGATGGTGACTTTGAAGAACACAAAGGTCCACGTTAGCAATTACCACCACATCTACATTGACAATAAACTGCCATGTATTAACGTACAAGCGATGGCTAAGGCTATAGATCTCAAAGTTCAAAGGAAATGTAAACCATACCGATATTCATCATTTCCGTAGTAGACGATATAACCCAACATCAACAACAGGAAGATAATATATGCCTCCTATCTGCACAGTAACGCTATAGTCCACACAAGCTTCGAAAGAAAAAAGTGATAATTAACCCAGCAATAAAAATATCCGGATGATTTACGGTAAATAGGACAATCAGCATAAATCTTACTTTCACTTGTTGGTTGGAATTGTTGGACGGAGGCTCCAAGATAATAATCTATTCGCGAGTGGATAAGGTTTTACGTCATTGTAGCAACATTCAACCTGTATTATACCAGGGGACACTGGAAACGGGCTTCACATAATGTATGAATGTGAGGAGGTCTTCAGCGTGAAGAGTGAACACTATCACCACAAAGCTACCCCACCGATCATCAGTCAGTTGAATACAAGTCATGCACCATGAGTCACATGCGTCACTTTGGATAATTCAGCTAGATAAATTACCCAACACAATGAGCAATCATCTAAACCCGTATCTGATCATAGTTATGGAATTCAATAGCAGGCATGGCGTCTGTATACACATGTACAGATATTGATATAGAGCAATGAAGTTTTTAAAGAGAATTAGCATCTGTTGACAACACCTGGTATCAACACTAAGTGATATGCCTATAACATATAGGTATATGCATAAATCTATAACAGTCTGCCTTAACAGAGATGTTTTTAATAATTATGAACATCGTTCTGCCGGGGTGTACCAAGTACAGATTGTTTATTGAAAATGAGATCCATGACAGTACTTAGCGTTAGGCGAATGTCACTGTTTAAGTTGTTGTTGTTGTTGTTTATTAATATATTTTTCATACTTATATTTATAATGATTCATTTGTGGCTTTTCAACTCACTCTGCCTATGGGTTGTAGAAATCCATTGGGACTAAGCTATATCATTTACTGTTATATTTAGCAAGTACCGATGTGAATAGGCACAACATTATTGATTCACTATTTTTTGTGATTGTTGTATGCAGAATGTTCATTGCGTACTGATTTAGATGAACAACCTTGTCGTATATCTGGCAATAGCAATGTTTGGAAGCTACATTCGAAATGATTCGTTGAATGAAGGATTGAAGTTGTATTTGTTGACGTTCATCGGCTGATGAAGACAATGCCTCAGTTTAAGCACTTTCATTTAATATTTGCCAACGGAGGCACTGTCATCATCAGCTGATGAACGTCAACCAATACAAAATCAAATTTAACCAACACTAACAATTGTATGGATCATAACAAAACAATCCATTCAAACACCAACTGTAATTATTTGAAGCGAACTATATTAACGCAGAGAGTTATCCGTCCCAACTTTTCCATTCGGGGTTACGTCCCTTGGTTACAAAAATGGCGACTTCGTTCACTTGATTTGGAAGTTACACCCAGTAAAGTTGGAACTGGAATGAAATCGAAACCTGGTTGATGCTGAAAATAGATTACAATGATCGTTCTGTAAACTTTTGGTGCGAGTTGTTAGTCATACAAGGGCTAGGTAAACATCTGAAGACGGAGGTTACGGATTGAGACGGCACGGATGCATTTCCCGATGTCACATACAACAGTGTTAAGTTGTGTGAATTCTTTAGGAAAGAAGAGCACTCTTTGTAACTACAAATAAACATGTCTTTTAGTTTATCCTTGATATGCACATGGTGTATCTAAAGGTCGTATGTTGATACCGTCTAAATGATTCCATGATGCGCGAAATATTGACAGTTCTGTTCTATTGAAAAGCATCATACTGACGTTCACCGGGAAATGAACCACAGCTGGCTTGGTAGTGTTCCTCTTGGCGAGGTCACCCGCTACTGTCAATATTTAAGGATTGATGTTGTAGTTGTTGAAGAATGCCTACAATGAGTAAATTCTACGAGGCGCGAAATATTAACAGTTCTGTAACTCTCGGCTCTGCTGACAACGTACTCACATAACCGGGAGGTCGATACGTATAATTGCAAAAGCCGAGCAATAATATTTTCCGCACACGCACACGAACGCACACGCGTATTCACACACCGCATGTTAGCCTATAATAATGTAATGATATATTTACAAGTCTAGCCAATATTTCCTTTCTTTTCATTCATTCATTCATTCATTCACTTCCTTTTATATAAATTCATTTGCATTGTAATCTGTATTTTCCTCTTACATATATGTAGGGGAGATGGGGGCACAGGTTATTCCGGGAGTATGTGCCTCAAACCCTTCCCAGGCAGGTATGCTGTAAGTAGAGAAGTAGGGCTATTAGCCTCCCACACTGTGCTGTAACTGGGCCACACACAACCACAGTTACAAGCAGGAAGCAGTAGCGAACCTTGTTAAATGCCAGACGGAATCAACCAGCTATGTAAACGGGGGACAGTTTGTAGAGAGTAATCATTTTGATGACACCGCGTTGTGGCCTCGTGTCCTTCTCCCATGATGACACTTATAATGGTTGCTAAATGATCGGGGAGTGTTTAGTGGTCGACAGATGGTTGGTGTGGCGACAACACTTCATCTTTAGGGCAGGGATAGAAATGAATGCTTTTTATGGGTGCCATAGGGTACAAGGCAGGTAATTTAGATGTGCCTTTGTGAAAATTAATGTGCCTATCATTTTTCATGATCTAAATTTGAAACATCACATCAATTATGTTATTTCATTTTGTTTAATAAAACAACTTATTGCAAACGTGTAAACTTGAGTGCGGGATTTCCTGAACACTATCATGACTAGGGGTTCAGGACAAATGAAGCTGAACTTTGTCTTAGTTCAAATTAAGTCTTAAATGAGACTGCAAGAAAAGTTCAGCTTCATTTGTCCTGAACAATATTATAACCTACAAACTGTTATCATCCATAACGTGATTTCCTGTCATGGGCAGTGGATTCAAAATGGCCACGCCCATGTTAAGCTGTGAGATTGAGTGCACCAATCTGCAAAACTGGTCTTCAATAATTTGACGTTGTCAGACGTATTGCATTTTCCATTAAATGAATCATGGTGAGTATTATTTTTATAATTTTATATGGGAACATTGAAGATATTTTATCCTTCAAAGACATAAAGCTATTTATAAATCTGATGGTCAAATCAAAGAGCCACATTTCTTTGAAGGAAGCTATCGAGCTTTACGCAAAGGCTGGAAGGCATGAAGTAGCATGTGACCATTATACATCATAATTTAATTACCTTTCAACAGCCAATTATGTGTTATGTGTAGAATAACTGGGAGATGCTAAACATGTATGATAACGTTGGCTTACCTTTGAGATTTAGTAGCGATTTGAAAGACAGTGTAACAGTTTCAGAAAAATGTGCAGCTGTAATGAGTTTGAATAATCGGCGAGCTTCTAAAATGGGTTGGTTTCAGGAAGGATACAGAAATACTTTAAATCAATATTCTCATATATGATTAGGCAAATACGACAAGAGTTACATATTAACATACTGGTTGATATATATTTACATATTGACTGCTATCCTGTGACCAAGACAAACGATTATTCAGAATCGACTTTAATACCTTTTTAGTTAATGGAGGGGTATACGTCAAAAGCGTCCTGCGCCCAGTTCAGTGTAGCAAGGTGTCTCAGTCTCAATTAGGGGACAAATTTGACTGGTCATTTGACTTTGCCTTGCAAATAGAGTGCGATTTGGGCATGACACTGACGCACGGCAGGCTTCAATTAAAGCAACAATAAATGTGTGTGTGTGTGTGTGTGTGTGTGTGTGTGTGTGTGTGTGTGTGTGTGCGTGTGTGTGTGTGTGTGTGTGTGGGAACAATATAAACTGTGTGCGGACAGTTTCAAGTCATGTAGATCTCAGAAAACTATACCACGCACGAGCACGGGTGTTGTGTTGACAAACCGAGACATAATCAAGATGAATCTGTGAATCATGGGTCTCTGTCACGCCTAAGTGACGCAGCTCTGCGATGACAATTGGGGTGCGTTATACGGCCTGGCCACGGAACATCGAACCACCCCGGGTGGACGTAGTTCATTGTATTACCATATAGGATAATATCAGCAGGAGTATTGTCCAGCTCCCCAGCCTACACAACACGAGGATATTGTTAGACTGATGTCCCATGTCAAGTATAGCTTAAGCTTCATGTGTGTGTGTGCATGTGTGTATTGTGTACATTGACAAAAACATATGCATGATTCTGAATGAGCGTTATTAATATCTGTCTGTGTGTGTGTGTGTATGTCTGTACATAAACACATACACACGTCTGTGTTTACATACATTACATACATACATACATCAAATACATACACACATACATACATACATACATACACACATACATACATACATACATACATACATACATACATACATACATACATACATACATACATACATACATACATACATACATACATACATACATACATACATACATACATACATACATACATACATACATACATACACACACACATACATACGTACATACATACATTTTGCAGGGAATGTACAAAGTTCTGTGTAAGAGTGGAACATCTGGAAACACAGCCTTTCTTCTCTTGATATATATTTGCCATCGCAAAATCTCAACGGGCAAGTACGAAATATTCATATAGGCATGTGATTACTTTCAGGGAAAAGTAACTAATTGATGATTGCTTATATAATGTTGGTATATATTATGTATATATTATGTCCCTCTTGATCCATGTTTGTGTGACAGAGCGGATGTTCAAGTCTGCAAAGTGTGAGTGAGTTTAGGTTTACACTTTGCAAACCAGGGGCTTCTTTCACGAAGCAACCTTGTCTAACGTTAACCTCAACTCCCATTCTTTAACATTGCACTAAGGTTATCTTAGTGACTTACGATCACCTTAGTGCTTTGTGAAAGGAGGCCCTGAACACCCGCTCTGTCACACAAACATGGATTAAGAGGGACATAATATATGTTTGCGTGACAGAGCGGGTACATGATCTGAAACACAGCTATAGTATGTAGTACTCCTAGTGAATTCACAAGGGCTTTTCCTGTATATATGGAAGTAGTGTGTCACTGTTTATGTTGTTTCAGACAGCTGGCTCTTTTGGATGTATAAACGTCACATATGTTGTTCTTTGTCACGTCGTTACGCCCATGAACATTTGTTTTAATATCGTAATTGATACATAGTATACTATTCTCAGATCATAAAGAAGAAATATTTATGCATGTTTTGTTCGATAATATCAGAGTATCATATTTCATTTCAATTGGGTGGGGGAAGGTGACCCTCCTGCCCCTCCCCATTTCAGTCTACGACTACGGTAATTCAAGAATGAGGACAATTTTTATAGATATACAACTTCTTTATTTTGTATAGGCGGCGTTTCGACATAGATTCTAATGTCGTTGTCAAACAAGTGGTGATACAGTAATTCAAGGTTACTTGTCACCAGCCAAAACACGTGTATATCATCACGTCTATGGCCTTTGTGCTAAAAATACCATTTGAGCTTAATAAAATAATAATGTCACCTGCTCATGAAAATATTTTGTGTACAGGTATTTTGACACGTCTAATCACACCTTTAATAACATGAAACCGACCCCGTTAAGTGTGAGTGTTGAATTATTGTGTGGCATGTGGGGCTCATTCTTCTCTTCAGAGGGTGTGTGTATGTTGGGGGGGGGGTGGGGGTATCAAAGACAAACTGCATTTTGAAATCTAACCTGTTTATAATCGCGTCTCGTCTTTCAATGGCCTTTTTCGTTCGATTCATCTTGTTTTCATACTGTCTGTTTTTGACATCCCTAATCGTCGAAATACATATATATTCCACGTTAACGTTTATGGACACACATATTCCACGTACCCTGGGGACTGAAGTAACATCACATGATCTGAATAGAATGTTGAACCTACATGAGCAGCTGTCAAATGTTCTCGTGACAAGAATAACTTCAGATCCCGAAAGAGAACTGATGACATTGTTACTTGTCGGAAAAGACAATTGTACCAGTAAGCTGATTTCTAATGATTTCTGATTTCGTGTAAGTTGGAGAAATCTTACCATTATTCAGCATGTTCAGGTTCAGGGTCAATCAATCATTAAATGAGAATTACAAATAGATACTAAATATAGTTTTTTCTAAACTCAGTAAAGCGTGTCGCATGCTGTATATGAAGTACACTGCGCACTGCATGGTTGAACTGAACTTGTCAAACTAAGCGAAATTGTCAATTTGAACAAAACCTGAATGAAAACGTGTAAATTGAAACACAATGTCAGTTTAAAAACCTTCCAAGTCCTCGAATAATTTTACACCAGCACCCTTCACCTCCACTAACAAACTTATTATCCTATACGTTACTGGACTGATTGTACATTTGTTATGAAATATGAATAAAATGATAATTATGAGGTTGATTGAACAACGTGGAGTAGGTATGTTAAGCGAGTCGGCAAGGAAATCAGTAAGGCAGGCGCTCCCATTCCCACAGTCGAACAGCTAAAACACACACAGCCATGAATGTTAAAGTAGCGCTGTAGTAGTGAATTGAACAAATAGTGTTGACTCACCCATGTTGTCCAGTAGAATGTGTGCACTCATACACAGGGTCCCCCCTAAAGTGACTGGGCATCAGTTTCTCCTGATCACTTTGACAAGCATCCTCTCATGACCTCTCTTTCATTGAAACTGGCTCGTCGTGTGCACACGCCTCGCTCTCGTGCCGCCATTTTGGCAGCATTAGGTCGCCTTGACCCTGGGTCTTAGATTAACGGCAGGTATTGATCGCAGCGAAGAACCGCTGAACGACTTCCCCAGAAACTGGGATAAAGGGTCGATCTTTTTTGTTCGCGGGAAGGCTGAATTTTGTTGAACGCATGGCCGGACAAGGGTTTCTTTGTTGCTTTTTATTGATTTTTTTTTACAGGATTTGAAAGTCAATGATACTATATTACTCGGATCTAGTTTACTAGCGGATAGCAAAGGTAGTTTTTAATCATACAAATATCCGTCAATCGTTTTTGTTTTGATCGAAATTTGACTTGAGTCGTGAATATATGTATCAAGTCGTGTCATGTTCTAAGCCTCGCATACCTGGTCATGGTTGTGGAGAGGGTGCACTCAGGACAAACCATATTTACACATCGCTGGCTTTAGTGAACGTACAATGGACAAACTGAACATCGTTTACAGAAAATACTTTTTGAGTTTCTTTATTGTCAGAATCTGCAGTAGTCAAGACTTTCCGGATATTATAGACTTGCAGGTGCTGTTTTTGGATAATATTTATATTTGTTTCTACGTTTGCATGACAGGCTATATTCCCGGTTGGAGGCGGTCTTTGTTCCCTACTCACAACTCTCGGCACATATGTAGCTCACAATTCACAGCGTGTAACTCTCGACCCTGGACACGTGCTTCAACTTGCCGCTCACGACAATCTTCTCTTCATTTCAGTGAGCTGTGAGTCGTGGCCTGTGACGTGTCGTTTATTGTTGTTAGCATTGCAAGAACTTATACCTCACCATGAACACCCCCGACACACTCACATCACCAAACTCACATCACCTCACATCACCACAAAACCCGCACCTCATCACTCACAACACACCTCACAACACAACACTCACCTCACCTCACCTCACCTCACCTCACCAGACCGCATCTGTTATCATTACAAGAAGCCATATCTCACCAGAAATGGGCTTCACGCATTGAACCACGAAAACGTCAAAACACTCACCTCACCTCACCTCACCTCACCTAACCTAACCTCACCTCACCTCACCTCACCTCACCACACTCAAACCTCACCACACTCACACCTCAACACACTTAGACCTCGCCACACTCACACCTCAACACACTCACACCTCAACACACTCACACCTCAACACACTCACACCTCAACACACTCACACCTCAACACACTCACACCTCAACACACTCACACCTCACCATATTCACACCTCGCCACACTCACACCTCGCCACACTCACACCTCGCCACACTCACACTTCGCCACACTCACACCTCGCCACTCACACCTCACCATATTCACACCTCGCCACACTCACACCTCGCCACACTCACACCTCGCCACACCTCACACCTCGCCACACTCACACTTCACCACACTCACACCTCACCACACACCTCGCCACACTCACACTTCGCCACACCTCACACCTCGCCACACTCACACCTCACCACACTCACACCTTACCATTTTCACACCTCGCCACACTCACACCTCGCCACACTCACACCTCACCACACTCACACCTCGCCACACTCACACCTCACCACACCTCACCATATTCACACCTCGCCACACTCACACCTCAACACACTCACACCTCAACACACTCACACCTCAACACACTCACACCTCACCATATTCACACCTCGCCACACTCACACCTCGCCACACTCACACCTAACCAAACTCACACCTCACCACACTCACACACCTCACCATATCTCACACCTCGCCACACTCACACCTCGCCACACTCTCACACCTCAACACACACTCACACCTCGCCACACTCACACCTCGCCACACTCACACCTCGCCACACTCACACCTCACCACACTCACACCTCACCACACTCACACTTCGCCACACTCACACCTCACCACACTCACACCTTACCATTTTCACACCTCGCCACACTCACACCTCGCCACACTCACACCTCGCCACACTCACACCTCACCACACTCACACCTCACCATATTCACACCTCGCCACACTCACACCTCGCCACACTCACACCTCAACACACTCACACCTCAACACACACACACCTCACCATATTCACACCTCGCCACACTCACACCTCGCCACACTCACACCTAACCAAACTCACACCTCACCACACTCACACCTCACCACACTCACACCTCACCATATTCACACCTCGCCACACTCACACCTCGCCACACTCACACCTCACCACACTCACACCTCGCCACACTCTCACACCTCGCCACACTCACACCTCGCCACTCTCACACCTCACCACACTCACACCTCGCCACACTCACACCTCGCCACACTCACACCTCACCACACTCACACCTCACCACACTCACACCTCGCCACACTCACACTTCGCCACACTCACACCTCGCCACACTCACACCTCACCACACTCACACCTCACCATATTCACACCTCGCCACACTCACACCTCGCCACACTCACACCTCAACGCACTCAAGGGGCGGTAGGGTAGCCTTATGATTTAAGTGTTCGCTCGTCACATAGAAGACCCTGGTTCGATTCCCCACACGGTTACAATGCGTGAAGCCCATTTCTGGAGTCCCCCGCCGTGATATTGCTGGGATATTGCTAAAACCGGCGTAAAACTTAATTCACTCACCACAGTCACTTCACTACACACATCTCACCATACTCAGCTAACCTCACCTCACACATCACCACATGCACTTACCTTAAAACACGCATCTCACCAATCACCTCACCTCACCTCACTCATTTCATTACACACACCTCACCATACTCAGCTAACCTCATAGCACTCACCTCACCTCACCTCACCTCACCTCACCTCACCTCACATCACTTCACATTATCACCTCACCTCACATCACATCACTTCACATTATCACCTCACCTCACCTCACATCACATCACTTCACATTATCACCTCACCTCACATCACATCACTTCACATTATCACCTCACCTCACCTCACCTCACCTCACCTCACCTCACATCACATCACATCACATCACATCACATCACTTCAAATTATCACCTCATCTCGCCTCACCTCACATCACATCACTTCACATTATCACCTCACTACTGTTTCTATAACTTTGTGAACCTTCACTGGGCTCATAACTCCTATATTCGAATTCCTTATGCAAATATTTCTTCTTTATAAACGGCTTCAGAACAAACATAACTATGATATCGTCACTATCAGGCACATGAACGATATATGTTTACTCTACACAGCGTAAATATTTCAAATCAGGCCTCACAGCTGTAAACATCTCACCTTTCAGGGAGCGGTGGGCTGGCCTAGCGATTAAAGCGTTCGCTCGTCACGCCGAATATCCGGGTTCGATTCCCCACATGGGTACATTGTGTGAAGCCCATTTCGTGTCCCAGGTTGTAATATTGGAATATTGCAAAAATCGGCGTAAAACCCAACTCACTCACTCACTCACCTTTTCCGCTGATTTGACCTGCTACATTATGATATTGTTGCAATATTACCGATTGCTTATATACTCATGCCAATAATGGTTGTCACCCCTTCAAAATCTTTTATTGGAGAGGGATGTGGGTGGGCTTGGGGTGGGGGAGGGGGTGACAACCATTATTGGCATGAGTATATTACAATAGCCGCGTTCAATAAGACAATAGATCAACAAACGATAATAACGCCACTACAATTCCGCAACTCCTTTGACCTCAATACAAGTTCTGTTTATTAACAAATTACAGTAGATGTTATAACAGTGAAACAAATGCTATGGTAACGGTGTGAAAACATGAATAATTCAGTTTATTATTTCCCTTCATATTACCCCACGGTACGTGATGAGTCGTTAACTGTGTTATTACAAAACCAAGCACTACTTGTTCTCGATGTTTCATTCAAAGTAAGTGAAATTAAGATTGCGAATCCTCATATTTTACCTTGCCGAATGATTTACGTATGATAAAGTTGTTTAACAAACGATCATACATTTTGTAATACGGTACGTGAAACCAATAATAGCGATTTGAAACTATGATCGTTTGTTAAACAACTTTTTATCCTAAGTTGAATAAAATTCTGAGATTTGAATGTTCAATTGGCCAGGTAAAATTATGAAGATTCGCAATCTTAATTTCACTTTATTCGATTTACCTTTTGGTTTAGAGTGAAATTCATCGGTACGTTTTCACTGCAAACAGGCTGTAGTGATGTCGTATGCACTATTATCCATGAGTTTGAGGGTGGTTGCGTTTTGCTGACTTAACTTAACGAGGCACATAGGGTACGCAAGTCATGCAGGGATGTAATTAAGTAGATGTGTAGAATACTGAATGCTAATATTTTCACATATGAGACTTCTATAATAAGGGTTAACGCTATCCAGAATGGCAGAACATTCTTTTCGTTTTCTGTTCTAAATGTTTTTGGGTAAATCCGGTTTAATATTGCTTTTTTTGGTTCCTTGAAAAAATGTATAAAGTTCATTTGGTGAGTGAGTGAGTTTAGATTTACACCACATTCAGCAATATGCCCCCGATCTGTAAATAATCGAGTCTGGACCAGACAATCAAGTGATCAACAGCATGAGCATCGATCTACGCAATTGGGATACGATGACATGTGTCAACCAAGTCAGCGAGCCTGACCACCCAATCCCGTTAGTCGCCTCTTACGACAAGACTGGGTTACTGAATATCAATTCTAACCTCGATCTTCTGGGGACACCTTCATGGTAATATCTTTACTAAGTTCCCCATGGTTTGTTAGTTTTCAAAACATGCATGAAACGACCGTGGTTATTTAGTTTGCCGATATTTGGAAGGCACGAAGTGACCTACTGAGGTAACTAAAAGAGAACAGTAGCTTGTGGAAATTTCTCCCCGGTGTAGAAAATGGACCAGACTTTATAGTATAATACCTGTCGTTTAAAAAACAATTCGTAAGCATAAAAATATAATTTGATACATTATTTCGTTTTTCTGTAGTTTATAAACGAATATGGAATCAAAACCTATGACTGTATTGCGGTCGCCATGGATACCGTTGTGAGAATCTGGCACCAACTTATTCAAATCA